TTCCACTCTGGACATTCCACAGATATATAAACCCACTTGCCTAGATTCCAACAGACCTCACAACCTCTGAGGATGCCTGCCAGAGATGTGTGCAAAACGTCAGGAGAGAATGCTTCTGGAACATGGCCATACAGTCTAGAAAACTCACAGCAACCCAGTGATTTTGGCCTTGAAAGCCTTTACAACACATCTTCTAACGTTGTTGCTGTTGTTGTCTTACTTTTCTCTCTCAACCAAGACACATAGCTGCATGACTCAATATCCAGAGATGTCTGCTCCTGCTTTTGGATCACAGACAAAGAAATCTTTGCTTCATTGGACAAAAGAAAACAAAATCAATCTGGACATTCTCCTCTGCAACTTTGCTTAAAATGAATGGGAAGGGTGCAAGAGCGTGGCAGTTCAGGAAATACAGTGGCTGCATTATTTAGCACCAAAGAGGCCATAAATGTTATAGGAACAATGTTTTAAGAGGCAATCCCAAAACAATATCCTGCGGTCCCTTACAATTAGGCATTGGGTCATAAAAGACTGGAAGGGAAATGGGCTGCAATCCATGAACGCTCAGGCATTAATAGTAATACATTTGCAAACCTTTCCAATGCCACTGGACTCTCCTTGGTCCTTTTTGCAGTTCCTATATTTCTTTATTTATAATATCAGAAGTGAACCAAGGGTACAGTTGTAGTGTATTTAAAAGGCACAAAGTTTTAAAACTTGGCATTATATTAAATGTCCTTTGACCGGAAGCTAGCCACTTGGAATGCCTCTGGTGTTGCTGTAAGAAGGTCCTCCATTGTGCATTGGGCAGGGCTCAGGTTGGATTTTACTATACTGGAGTGGTGTTTAAGGGCAAAGGTGTTCCTGCTCTGGGATACAACAGTAACAACCAGCACTTTTTATTTAGCCCGGAAGCAGATCAACATGGGAGTTGTTCTCTCCCTGTACAGAGCCCCAGTTAGTGACCTGGCTAGTGCTCAATGAACTAGCTGAAGCTTCCAAACTATATTCAAAGGCAGCCCCACATAGAGAGGGTTGCAGTAGTCCAGATGGGAAGTAACCAAGACGTGGACTACCATGCCGTCACTGTTCGATTTGCCCACAATTCATTCAGACAAAGGTATTTCAGAATCCTGACACCAAAGCTTTTTACCGGTTACAACATTTTGCCACTTGTACTACCAAAAGCGTGGTCTATATTATTTTTTGCCCATGTTCTCTTATGTATATCGGCCAAACAAGCAGACAAGTCAAACAACGGATCAGCGAGCACAAGAGCAAAATTAGAAATCACTCCACTGATTCCATTTTTTATAAACATTTTGCTGATTTAATTCATAATACAGAATCACTCCGGGTGCTGGTTTTAGAGGTTGTCACACCCCCCTCCAATTTGGATTTGGGTACTAAATTATTACAGCGTGAAGCCTTTTGGATTTTCACCCTTAAAACTGTACATCTCAATGGTCTAAATGACATCATTTCATACCAGTGTTTCCTGTAAACTATAGTTCTTCGACAATACATGGGTACACAAGTTTTAACACTGCGAAGGCGCTCCTGGCCACCGCTGACACCTGAGGTTCCAGGGTCAGTGATTCCAGGATCACTACCAGACTGCAAACCCATGTCTTCAAGGGAATGTCACCCCATCGAACACAGGCTGTAACCCTATACCCTGTTCTGCCTTTTGACTGACCAGGAGTACCTCTGTTTTGTTTGGATTTACCTTCAACTTATTAGCCTTCATCCAGTCCGTCACTGATGTTCAGGAGCAGAACGGCATCCTTGGCTTTAGGTGGAAAGGAGTACTAGAGATGGGTGTCTTCTGCGTAGATTTGACACCAAATCCCAAAACTCTGGATGATCTCTCCCAGTGGTTTTATATAAATGTTAAACAGCATGGGGGGCAGAATTGAGCCCTGTGGGGTCCCACAGGCCAGAGGCCAGGGAGTCGAACAGGAGTCCTCCAGCTCCACCATCTGGGATCACCCCTCAAAAAAGGACCGGAGCCACTGGAAAACAGTGCCTCCCATTCCCATCCCATAGAGCTGGCCCAGAAAGAGACCATGGTTGATGGTTTTGAAAGGCATTGAGAGGTCCAGGAGAACCAACAGGGAAATATTCCACCAAGGCAACCAATGACATTTCAGTTCCGTAACCAAGCCTGAAAACAGATTGAGATGGATTCAGATGGTCAGTTTCATCTAAGAAACTTTGGAGTTGTGAGGTCACCACAACTTAAGCTTCTTTGAGTCTCCTTTGGGAGAGATAAAGCGGGATATTATTATTATTTATTATTATTATTATTATTATTATTATTATTATTATTATTAATAGAAAAATCAGCTGATGACCCAAAATGAAGACTATGCAAGGAAGCTGATGAAACCATTGATCATATCCTCAGCTGCTGCAAGAAAATCGCACAAATGGACTACAAACAGAGGCACAACTCTGTGGCCCAAATGATTCACTGGAACTTACGTCACAAGTACCACCTGCCAGTAGTAAAGAACTGGCAAAGGGATTATAAACCTGCAAAGGTAGTCACACGCAAAAATACTGTGGGACTTTTGAATCCAGACTGACAAAGTTTTGGAACACAATACGCCAGTCATCACGATTGTGGAAAAGAAAAAAGTTTGGATTATTGATGTCGCCATACTGGGTGACAGTTGCATTTAGGAAAATCAACAGGAAAAATTCAGCCGTTATCAGGACCTCAAAATTGAACTGCAAAGGCTCTGGCATAAACCAGTCCAGGTGATCCCAGTGGTCATTGGCACACTGGGTGCCATGCCAAAAGATCTCAGCCAGCATTTGGAAACAATGAACATTGACAAAATCACGATCTGTCAACTGCAAAAGGCCACCTTACTTGGATCTACGCACATCATTCGAAAATACATCACACAGTCCTAGGCGCTTGGGAAGTGTTCAACTTGTGATTTTGTGATACGAAATCCAGCATATAGATCTCGTTTGCTGTGACATATTATAGTTTTGTGTCAGAATAATAATAATAATAATAATAATAATAATAATAATAATGGCAAAAGAAAGTGCTCCCTGGACAGTTCCTAGGAAAAAATGGAGAGCAAAATGGACAAGGAAAAAACATGGATGTAGCTCACAAATAGAATGTGGAAGAAGGGACGGAGGGTCTGATTCTGGCAGCCCAAGAACAGTCAATTAGAACAAATACCATCCAAGCCAGAACTGAAAAGCTGATGACAGTTTCCAAGTGTAGACTCTGCAAGGAAGCAGGTGGAACAATGGATCACATCCTCAGCTGCTGCAAGAAGATCGCGCAAACAGACTACAAGCAGAGGCGTAACACCATTGCTCAGATGATTCATTGGAACTTGTGCCATAAAAACCATCTCCCTGAGACTATGAACTGGTGGGATCACAAGCTGGAAAAGGTTACAGAAAATGAACATGTAAAACTACTCTGGGACTTTTGAATTCAGACTGACAGAGTTTTGCACTATTATTATTATTATTATTATTATTATTATTATTATTATTATTATTACTATTCCTGACTTCACAATCGTGGAAAAAAACAAAGTGTGGATTGTTGATGTTGCAATCCCAGGTGACAACAGGATTAACAAGAAGCAACTGGAAAAGCTGACACGATACGAGGATTTAAAGAGTGAACTGCACAGACTCTGGCACAAGCCAGTAAAGGTGTACCCAGTGGTGATTGGCACACAGGGTGCAGTGCCTAAAGACCTTGGCCTGCACTTAAAAACAATAGGTGTTGACAAAAACACCACCTGTCAGCTGCAGAAGGCCACCCAACTTGGATCTGCACACATTATTCGCCGATACATCACATAGTCCTAGACGCTTGGGAAGAGTCCGATGTGGGATCCAATACAAAAACCAGCAGAGTGATATTGTTTGCTGTGTACTCATCTTGTTGTGTTAATAATAATAATAATAATAATAATAATAATAATAATAATAATAATAATTTGGAGCAGAAAAAATGGCAAGCAGGGCAAAAAGTTGTAAATTGGGAGGTGGGCAAAAAGTGAGGCTAAAAGTGATACATTTGGGGAGAAATATTGTGAATTTGGAGCAAAAAAGTGGCAAATTTTTGAGAGAATCTTGTAAACTTGGGGAGGAATGTCAAAAGAGAAAATTGTAAAATTGGGGCAAAAACTTGCAAGTTTGAGTTTAAAAAATGGCTAATTTGATGGCAAAAATATCAAATTTGAGGCTAAAAATGGCAAGTTTATCGCAAAAAGTGGCAGCTTGGAGTTGAAAAAAATACATGGTGGTAAATTTGGGGCCGAAAGTACTGAATTTGGGGCCAAAAGTAGCAAGTTTGGAGGTAAACATGGCAAGTTTATGGCGAAATCGTGACAAGTTTGGGGTTAAAAGTGGCAAATTTGGGAGAAAATTGGACAAATTTGGGGCAGAAGATAGGAAATGGAGTAAAATATACTTACTTAGGCAACCCCTCGTTGTCCGAGTATGATGGCCTTCCAAGTGCAGTGTCTTGGCAGTGGGGTCGTAGGTGGCTGTGGAGCCCTATTCTTGATCAGCATGTTCTTCCACAGTGAAGACATCGGTTTCCAGATGGAAGGCGGTCCTAGTCAGGGTTGGCTTGATGCACCTTCCGTTTGACCCGTTTCTCCCTTTCCCCCTCCATTTGTACCTCTTCAAATTCTGCAGCACTGCTGGTCACAGCTGACCTCCAGCTGGAGCGCTCAAGGGCTTCCCATTCTCTTGGTGTCTATGCTTTAAGCCCATCTTTTAATCTCTTTTCCTGTCCACCAACATTCAATTTGGGGCAGAATATAGGAAATGGAGTGAAATATACTAATTTGGGGACAAAGGTTGCCAATGATCAAGTGGTTACTCTCAAAATATCTGACTGCTCAATATGTTCAGTTCTCCAACTATAGCAATGGGGCTAGGTTTTGCATCCTTTCTGTGACCCTGTTTGCCAAATCCGACCTTCTTTTCCTCCTTTGCAGACAGCAGCGATAGCGAGTTGGAGCTTTCGACCATCCGGCATCAGCCCGAAGGCCTGGACCAGTTGCAGCTTGTGACCAAATTCAGCAAGAAAGAGCTCCAGTCCCTTTACCGAGGCTTCAAGAACGTGAGTCCGAGGGGGGCGGCTTCTTGCTTAGACTTATATGTTGCAACTTGTGGCCGTGGCGCTATTGATGTGACCACAAATGGCTTTGGAACACTCTGTTAGAATCATAGCTTTGTAGAGTCAGAAGGGGTCCCAAAGGTCATCCGGTGCAACCCCAACTGTCCCAAACAGTCTACCCTGTGATTATGAACTGAATTAACAAATGCCGGTTTCGCACTCGGGATCCAATAAGGCCCCAGTTTGGAATTTTTTAAAAAAGGAGTCTTCACTCCTCCAGATGCATTAATGTGCCCAGAAGGGAGTGCCAAAATTTCCCTCTTCATTCAGACTTTGCTGAATGACATGAAAGAGTCAGCCTTAAAGTGGAGAGTGCTGATCCATCAATTGATTCTAGGAGCAAAGAAGCAGCGATACCAGTAAATGGACTGCAGTGAATTAGGAGAGACTTCTGGACAGGTTATTTTGACTAGGTCTAAGACTGCATTCCTTTAACTTGGGGTCAGGACCCCTGGTTGGGTCATGAGGTGGTGTCAGAGGGGTCGTCAAAGACCATCAGAACACACAGTATTTTCTCTTGGTTCTGTGGGTTCTGTGTGGGAAGCTTGGCCCAATTCTATCATTGTTTGATCTGGCCATGGTGGTCCACGCTCTTGTCACATCCCGAATAGATTACTGCAACACGCTCTACATGGGGTTGCCTTTAAAGACTGTTCGGAAACTGCAATTAGTCCAACGGGTGGCAGCTAGATTACTCACCGGAGCGTCATACAGGGAGCATACCACTCCCCTGTTATGTCAGCTCCACTGGCTGTTGATCCAATTCCGAGCACAATTCAAAGTGCTGGTTTTGGCCTAAAATACCCTATACAGCTCCGGTCCAGTGTACCTGTCCGAACATATCTCCTTCTATGTCCCACCTCGGAGTTTAAGATCTTCTGGGGAGGTCCTGCTCTTGGCCCCGCCTCTGTCTCAAACACGTTTGGTAGGGACGAGAGAGAGGGCCTTCTTGGTGGTGGCCCCCCACCACCACCATCCCTCCTCACCTTTAGAAAGAAGGTGAAATCGTGGATGTGGGACCAGGCCTTCAGGCAATTAGGTTAAAGGACAATTGATAATGTTAACTATGGCTTGGAAGAGGATTTGGATAAGTTAAGCAGAGTACTCAATAGTATATTACTAGATAAATAGCCACCAGACTGGTAATAGCTCCATGTCTTAATGTTTATGCTTTTAACTGTTATAATTGCTGTTTTTTATTTTATTATGCAGCATCGAATAGTTGCCAATTCAAATCAAATCATTTATCTTGGTCATAGACCAGCACAGGAAATAGATTGTTGCCAATTGGAAGCCGCCCTGAGTCCCCTTAGGGGTTGAGAAGGGTGGGGTAAAAATGTTCTAAATAAATAAATAAATACAATTGGTGGGGTTCAGAATGCTCTTTGATTGTAGGTGAACTATAAATCTCAGCAACTGCAACTCCCAAATGTCCAGGTCGTATTGAGTATTTGTGCCAAGTTTGGTCCAGATCCATCATTGTTTGAGTCCACAGTGCTCTCTGGATGTAGGTGAACTACAACTCCAAAACCCAAGGTTGATGCTCACCAAACCCTTCCAGTATTTTCTGTTGGTCGTGGGAGTTCTGTGTGCCAATTTGGTTCAATTCCATTGTTGGTGGAGTTCCGAATGCTCTTTGATTGTAGGTGAACTATAAATCCCAGCAATTACAATTCCCAAATGACAAAATCAATCCCCTCCGACCCCACCAGCATTCAGATTTCAGTGTATTTGGGTATTTGTGCCAAATTTGGTCCAGTGAATGAAAATACATTCTGCATATCAGATATTTACATGACAATCCATAACAGTAGCAAATTTACACTTGTGAAGTAGCAACAAAAATAATATTATGGTTGGGGGTCACCACAACATGAGGAACTGTATTGAGGGGTCACGGCATGAGGAAGGTTGAGAAACACTGCTCTATGCAGATACCCTCACTGATTGACTTTGCAAACTTCATGGCTACTCAAATGGCTACTCAAGCTTGACTATTGCAACATTCACACTTGCTTCAAACAGACAAGGGTTCTTTCTTCCACCCTCGACACACACACATTCACACACACTCCACTTGTCTCACTTCCAACATACCTCTGAAGAAACCTCTGAAGATGCCATTAGCCATAAATGCAGGTGAAATGTCAAGAGAGAATGCTGCTGGAACACAGCAACCCAAAACATGGTCTCTTTGGTGCATGAAATTCACGTCCTTCAGATATCAAAAGTGCCAGGAGATCACCTGGAGAGAGTGCAGCTTCAAGTAGAGAGTGTTTCTATCTCAGTGCTGCAGAGAGAAAGGCACTCTGCATATGCTCCAGAACCTTGGTCTCATATCACATGGTACATGGATGGGCCACAGCCTTGGAAGCAAGGGCTGAGTGGTGGTGTTTCATTTGCAGAGGGAATAGAAAGGCGGAAGAATGCATGGAAATGTGTGTTTTGGCACAACTTTGAGGGTCACCACAACATGAGGAACTGCATTAAGGGGTCATGACATCAGGAAGACTGAGAACCACTGAGGGCCCAATAGATGGCCATCTGTTGGGAGGGCTTTGAGTGTGCCTTCCTTTATGGCAGGAAAAGGTTGGACTGGATGACCTCTGGGGTCACCATCCCCTTCCTTGATTCCATAGCATTCAGCCAAAGTGGCCTCAAACCAGCGTAAATCTATAGTGAGGATGCACCCTTAGAAGATATTTTTTAAAGACTGCCAATACCCGGCAACTTCAGAAGTATGTTTACTGGCCCTCTGCCTTTGCATTGATCAGAAACTTAGCCGACAGGCGCTTTCCCCATCGCCTTATAAATAAATAAGTGCCGCCTCTTGCCCGGAAAAGTTGTCTCTGCCTGGATGTTTTTAAAAGCGCAAGAAGAAGGAGAAAGCAATACAAAAGTGGAAATTCCTCCATTGGAAGCAGAGGATAAACAAATAGATTTGCAACTGTGAGAACTGGACCTGCATCTTTTTCTTGGGTGCATCTGCACTGTAGAATTAATGCGGTTTGACATCACTTGAACTGCCAAACTGTGGCTCCCCCTATTTGATGGCCTTGGGCCATGGAAGGTCAAGTGGGTTCAAACTTCATATATCGCTTCCAGCCTCTGCTATTCGTTAGGTGCTGTCCACCCACTTTCTCACCAGGGCTGGCCCTGCTTAGCTTCCAAGATTGGATCAGATTTAGTGCCTTCAGGGAACTTTGGCCCAAAATAAATATCCAAAAGTTGGCCACAGATGTGTGTTTGCCACTCGCACCTCCCTGGCGTGACCTCCTTGTACTTTGCTTTGGCAGGAATGTCCCAGCGGATTGGTCGACGAGGAGACCTTCAAGCTGATCTATGCCCAGTTCTTCCCCCAAGGAGGTGAGTCTTTGTGCAGAGGGTTCAGGAATGGCTATTGTGGCCATTGGCCCAGGGAGGTCATTCAGGATTGGCATAGCATCCATTGGTCTGGGAAGGTAATTTGTGGCTGCCATAGCAATTGGTTTAGTGTCTATTGGTCTGGGAAGGTCATTCGGGATTGGTACTGCAATTGATATAGTGTCCATTGGCCTGGGAAGGTCACTTGAGGCTGGCATAGCAATTGATATAGTAGCCATTGGCCTGGGAAAGTCATTTGAAGCTGGCACAGCAATTGGTTTAGTGTCCATTGGCCTGGGAAGATCATTCGAGATTGGCACTGCAATTGGTAAAGCAACACTTGACTTGGAAAGGTCATTTGGGGTTGGCATACAAATTGGTTTAGCATCCATTGGCCTGGGAAGGTCATTCGAGATTGGCACTGCAATCGGCATAGTGTTGATTGGCCTCAGAAGGTCATTTGGGCTGGCATAGCAATTGATATAGTAGCCATTGGCTTGGGAAGATCATTCGGGGTTGGCATTGCAATTGATATAGTTGCCATTGGCTTGGGAAGATCATTTGGGGTTGGCATTGCAATTAATATAGTAGCCATTGGCCTGGGAAAGACATTCGTGGCTGGCACAGCAATTGGTTTCGCATCCTTTGGCCTAGGAAGATCATTTGAGATTGGCACAGCAATTGATTAAGCAACAATTATCTTGGAAAGGTAATTCGGGGTCGGCATAGAGCTTGGTTTAGCATTCATTGGCCTAGGAAGATCATTCGAGATTGGCACAGCAATTGGTAAAGCAACAATTGACTTGGAAAGGTCATTCGGGGTTGGCATAGAAATTGGTTTAGCGTCCATTGGCCTGGGAAGGGCATTCGGGATTGGCACTGCAATCGGCATAGTGTTGATTGGCCTCAGAAGGTCATTTGGGCTGGCATAGCAATTGATATAGTAGCCATTGGCTTGGGAAGATCATTCGGGGTTGGCATTGCAATTGATATAGTTGCCATTGGCTTGGGAAGATCATTTGGGGTTGGCATTGCAATTAATATAGTAGCCATTGGCCTGGGAAAGACATTCGTGGCTGGCACAGCAATTGGTTTCTCATCCTTTGGCCTAGGAAGATCATTTGAGATTGGCACAGCAATTGATTAAGCAACAATTATCTTGGAAAGGTCATTCGGGGTCGGCATAGAGCTTGGTTTAGCATCCATTGGCCTAGGAAGATCATTCGAGATTGGCACAGCAATTGGTAAAGCAACAATTGACTTGGAAAGGTCATTCGGGGTTGGCATAGAAATTGGTTTAGCATCCATTGGCCTGGGAAGGGCATTCGGGATTGGCACTGCAATCGGCATAGTGTTCATTGCCCTCGGAAGATCATTTGGGTTGGCATAGCAATTGATATCGTTGCCATTGGCTTGGGAACATCATTCAGGGTTGGCAAAGCAATTAATATAGTAGCCATTGGCCTGGGAAAGACATTAGCGGCCGGCACAGCAATTGGTTTAGCGTCCATTGGCGTGGGAAGGTCATTTGGGGCTGGCATAGCAATTGGCTTAGCATCCATTGGCCTGGGAAGATCATTCGAGATTGGCACAGCAATTGGTAAAGCAACAATTGACTTGGAAAGGTCATTCGGGGTTGGCATAGAACTTGGTTTAGCATCCATTTGTCTGGGAAGGTCATTTGGGATTGGCACAGCAATTGGTAAAGCAACAATTGACTTGGAAAGGTCATTCAGGGTTGGCATAGAACTTGGCTTAGCATCCATTAGCCTGGGAAGGTCATTCGGGATTGGCACTGCTATTGGCACAGTGTTCATTGGCCTCGGAAGGTCATTTGGGCTGGCATAGCAATTGATATAGTAGCCATTGGCTTGGGAAGATCATTGGGGGTTGGCAAAGCAAATAATATAGTAGCCATTGGTCTTGGAAAGTCATTTGCGGCTGGCACAGCAATTGGTTTAGCATCCATTGCCCTGGGAAGGTCATTCGGGATTGGCACTGCAATTCGCATAGTGTCCATTGGCCTTGGAAGGTCATTCAGGGTTGCCATCGCATTTGGCATAGTGTTCATTAACTTGGGAAGGTCAGTCGAGATTGGCACAGCAGTTGGTTAAGCAGTCATTGGCTTGGAAAGGTCACTCGGGATTGGTGCTGCAAATGGTTTAGTGTCCATTGGCCTGGGAAGGTCATTCAGGGCTGGCACAGCAATTGATATAGTAGCCATTGACTTGGGAAGGCAGGTTGCTGGGCAAAGGGCAAATAGTAGCCTTTGTTTTGGTGCTTTTTGCAGATGCCACCATGTATGCCCACTTCCTCTTCAACGCTTTCGACGTCGACCGGAATGGAGCCATCCGTTTTGAGGTAAAGTCGCAGATTCCCATTTCTTCAACTGTGTCTAGAAGTAATAATACCAATACCAATACTAATAATACTAATATTAACACTAATAATAATAATAATAATAATAATAATAATAATAATTTGAATTGGGCAGGCAAAGAATGGGCGCCAATCTCAGTCTTGGAAATAACCTGCAGACTGAGGCTTTACCTGCTTGGGTTGGCCACTTGGGTGACATCTCATGCTACACATCCCCCTCGGAGAGACCTAGTTTTCTGAGTGTCCTTCCTTCCCTTTTGCAGGATTTTGTGGTCGGACTCTCCATCCTTCTGCGAGGGACAGTGCATGAGAAACTCAGCTGGGCCTTCAATCTCTATGACATCAACAAGGACGGATACATCACCAAAGAGGTATGTGCATTTGAGGTCTGAGGTCGAAGCCTGGCTTGGCCATGGAAAGCCACTCTGGGTATGCTGGGAATTGCAATAAAAAACCCAGTTAAGGAGTTACAGGTTTTGTACTCCAGCTGGAAATACAAGGTTACAACAACATCTGTTATAGAACTCCAATATGCCGATGACAACATTGTCTGTGCGCATTCAGAAGAAGACCAACAAGCCACTCTAAACACCTTCGCAGAAGCATACGAGAAGCTCGGCCTGTCATTGAACACCGAGAAAACCAAAGTGCTCTTCCAGAAGTCATCAGCCAATCCCTCTCCAATGCCAGAAATACAACTTAATGGCGTAACATTAGAAAATGTTGACCATTTCCGCTACCTTGGCAGCCACCTCTACACAAAAGTCAACACTGACACTGAAATACAACACCACCAGAGCTCTGAGAGTGCAGCTTTTTTCTGAATGAAGCAGAGAGCATTTGAGGACCGGGACATCTGTAGGGATACCAAGGTGCTTATTTATAAAGCTATTGTCCTCCCAACCCTGTGATATGCCTGTGAAACGTGGACTCTCTACAGATGTCACATGCAACTCCTAGAAACAATTCCAGCAGTGCTGCCTCTGGAAAATCCTGCAAATCTCTTGGGAAGACAGGCGGACAAATGTCAGCATGCTGGAAGAAGCAAAGACCACCAGCATTGAAGCGATGGTCCTCCGCCATCAACTCTGCTGGACCGGCTATGTTGTCTGGATGCTCAACAACCGTCTCCCAAAGCAGTTGCTCTACTCCGAACTCAAGAACGGAAAACGGAATGTTAGAGGGCAGGAAAAGAGATTTAAAGATGGGCTCAAAGTCAACCTCAAAAACTGTGGCATAGACACCAAGAGAATGGGAAGCCCTTGAGTGCTCCAGCTGGAGATCAGCTGTGACCAGCAGTGCTGCGGAATTTGAAGAGGCACAAATGAAGGGGGAAAGGGAGAAACAGGCCAAACAGAAGGTGCATCAAGGCAACCCTGACTGGGACTGCCATCCATCTGGAAACCAATGCCCTCACTGCGGGAGAAGATGCAGATCAAGAATAGGGCTCCACAGTCACCTACGGACCCACCAGTTCACTGGTCTTGGAAGACTATCCTACTCGGCCAACAAGGGATCACCTAAGTAAGTAAGCAAGTAAATAAGTACTATTCCAAGCACTTGACAAACACCAACCAAAGAGTCTCCGAGTTCCAATGTCTCTGGGTGTTGTCGTCCCAAAGATTGACTTTTCCAACCATTGGGAGGCACACATCTTGGAAGTTCTAGCTTGGGGAGGCATCAGTAGGAGGCTAAAGATGATGTGGAACTGCAACTCCCAGGATTCCCTATAGCATTGAGCCAAGGACCAAACTATATTAATTATACATTCTTTATCTTACCATGAAAGCAAAGCCACATTCAGCATGGGGAAGGGATAGGTATGGGCATCAGGCTTTTTGACTTCTACTGTAGGGAGATCTCCATGTAAAAACTCCCATTTCCCCCCTTGGACTCTAATTCCCATCAGTTTTGCTCTCCTTCTCTCCCAGGAGATGTTGGCCATCATGAAGTCCATCTACGACATGATGGGACGTTACACCTATCCGATCTTAAGGGACGATGCTCCGATTGAACACGTGGAGAAGTTCTTCCAGGTACAAAAAGGAGAGACTCGGAGGCCATTGGAGCAGGACGATGGGTGTTATGTTATTCCACCGTAATGAGTCTCAATGGAACATCTGTCATTATGGCAACATATCAATAATCCAACCCAAAGAGAGAGAGAGAGAAGGCTGGAACTTAAAGCCTACTTCAAACTTCCCTTTCCATACCTGTTTGCCCTGCTTCACTTCCTCCTGCATTAATGCATTGACATCAATGCACTACATATCCCATTAAGCCATAGACCCCTTTGCCATTGCTATATACAGAAAATAATTGGGATTTTCTAGCCATGGATTGTCACAGAAGCCAAATAGGGTGTTGTTGTTGTTTGGAAGGAGTCCCCAGAGGTCATCTAGTCCATTTGATGCAAGATCCCAGAATTGGAAGGGTCCCCAGGGGTCATCTAGTCCATTCCATGCAGGATCCCAGAATTAGAAGGGGTCCCTAGAGGTCATCTAGTCATCCATGCAGGATCCCAGAATTAGAAGGGGTCTCCAGAGGTCATCTAGTCCATTCCATGCAAGATCCCTGAATTGGAAGGGGTCTCCAGAGGTCATCTAGTCCATTCCATGCAGGATCCCAGAATTAGAAGGGGTCCCCAGAGGTCATCTAGTCCATTCCATGTAGGATCCCAGAATTAGAAGGGGTCTCTAGAGGTCATCTAGTCCATTKCATGCAAGATCCCTGAATRGGAAGGGGTCTCCAGAGGTCATCTAGCCCATTCCATGTAGGATCCCAGAATTAGAAGGGGTCCCCAGAGGTCATCTAGTCCATTCCATGCAAGATCCCAGAATTGGGAGGGGTCCCCAGAGGTCATTTAGTCTATTCCATGCAAGGTCTCAGGATTGGAAGGGGTCCCCAGAGGTCATCTACTCCATTCCATGCAAGATCCCAGAATTGGAAGGGGTCCCCAGAGGTCATCTAGTTCTTTCCCTACTTGTTTACATATTTCCAGCTAAAGCACCCTCCTTTATAACCTTCTCAAGGCAATTGTTATTTGGTGAGGCTCCAGCCCCCTTTGGCAGAGAAGGCTAGTGTCCTTAGAAAACTCCCATAATTCTGTGGCATTGAACCATGGCAGTTCAAGTGGGATCAAACGGCATAGATACTCAGCCGTGATACTCTTGGAAGGCAATGTATTGATTAAAGATAGACCAGGCATCTATCGTTCTGTATTTCAGAAAATGGACAAAAACCAGGACGGTGTGGTCACCATTGAAGAGTTCCTAGAGACATGTCAAAAGGTGAGGTTGCATTAAGCTTTCTTGAATATGACAGCAGTTACACATATTTTGAAATGTATTTTTTGGAGAGTATTACCTTCATCCAATCATAGCTTGTTGTGTTAGTTGGATGGATCTTCTGATCAGTACGCATTTGCCCTTTAAACTGGAATATTTTGCCAGGCTGGATTTGGTCCTCAGCTTGCTGCAGAATGAATCATAAATTGCTGGTGGAGCGAATTATTGTTGTTGTTGTTGTTGTTGTTGTTGTTGTTGTTGTTGTTGTTGTATTATGAAACACGGTTTGTGTTCCTGTGTTATAAATGTCATTTCCTAATTGTTTCTATCATTAAAACATGGGGAAAGTTTATTAAACTGCATAAACTTTGTTTTTGCATTTTGCTATAGTTTTCCACCTAGTATCTGATAGAGTCATAACCAATTCAACACAGTTGTATTGTGTTGTACTGCACTTTTAAAGTGTAGGATTGTTAGACACCTTGAGTCCCCATAGGAAGAAATAATAATAATAATAATAATAATAATAATAATAATAATAATAATAGCAGCTTACTTACTTAGGCGATCCCTCGTTTTCCGAGGAGGATTGTCTTCCAGTATTCTTGTGGGTCCGTAGGTGGCTGTGGAGCCCTATTCTTGCTCTGCATCTTCTTCCGCAGCGAGGGCATTGGTTTCCAGGTGTAAGGCGGTCTCGGTCGGGGTTGGCTTGACGCGCCTTCCTCTTGGCACGCTTCTCCCTTTCGCCCTCCATTCGTGCCTTTTCAAATTCTGCACCACTGCTGGTCACAGCTGACCTCCAGCTGGAGCAGTCAAGGGCCAGGGCTTCCCAGTTCTCAGTGTCTATGCCAGAGTTTTTAAGGTTGGCTTTCAGCCCATCTTTCAATCTCTTTTCCTGTCCACCAACATTCCGTTTTCCGTTCTTGAGTTCGGAGTAGAGCAAATGCTTTGGGAGACGGTGGTCGGGCATCCGGACAACGTGGCCGGTCCAGCGGAGTTGATGGCGGAGGATCATCACTTCAGTGCTGGTGGTCTTTGCTTCTTCCAGCATGCTGACATTTGTCCGCCTGTCTCCCAAGAGATTTGCAGGATTTTCTGGAGGCAGCGCTGATGGAATCGTTCCAGGAGTTGCATGTGACTTCTGTAGACAGTCCACGTCTCACAGGCATATAGCAGGGTTGGGAGGACAATAGCTCTATAAACAAGCACCTTGGTATCCCTACGGATGTCCCGGTCCTCAAACACTCTCTGCTTCATTCGGAGAAATGCTGCGCTCGCAGAGCTCAGGCGGTGTTGTATTTCGGTGTCGATGTTGACTTTGGTGGAGAGGTGGCTGCCAAGGTAGCAGAAATTATCAACATTTTCTAATGTTACACCATTAAGCTGTATCACTGGCATTGGAGAGGGGTTGGCTGGTGTCTGTTAGAACAGCACCTTGGTTTTTTCGATGTTCAATGACAGGCCGAGCTTCTCGTATGCTTCTGCGAAGGTGTTTAGAGTGGCCTGTAGATCTTCTTCTGAATAGCAGCAGATACAGGCACATTTGTCCAATGCTTTGCAAGACATTCTCTGCAGTCATAGAAAAGCAGACAATGTAAAATCACAATCTGCAAAAGGATAATAATAATAATAATAGAAAAGAAGAAGTAGAAGACAATAATAATAGTAATATTAAGAATAATAGAAAATTAGTAGAAGACAGGATGATGTGGTGGTGATGATGATGATGACAATAATAATTTTTAAAATTATTAAATAATAATAAACATTTAATAATATTATGAGGATTTAAAGATCGAACTGCAAAGATTCTGGCACAAGCCAATCAAGGTGGTCCCAGTGGTGATCGGCACACTGGGTGCAGTTCCTAAAGACCTTGGCCTGCACTTAAACACAATCAGCATTGACAAAATTACTATCTGTCATTTGCAAAAGACCATTGTATTCGGATCTGCACACATTATTTGCTGATACAAATGTCCTAGACACTTGTAACTGTCTGACATGTGACCAAATACAAAAGCCAGCAGAGTGATCTTGTTTCCTGTGTACTAATCTTGTTGTGTATCAAATAGCAACAACAACAACAACATAGCAGAGCATTTGATGAACCAACCTGGACAAAATATTACTGGAGAACACAGAAATGCTGCATCACTCTGACAACCATCATGTCAGACTACACAGAGAAGCTGCTGAAATCCACAAGTATCACATGGACAATTTCAACAGAAAGGAGGAAACCGTGAAAAAGAACAAAATCAGGCTACCAGTATTAAAAACCCACCAGAATCAAGACAGTAAATAAGGAATGCTACTCAGAAACAGGGCAACTCCAGACAGCAAACCATCAAGGGCCAGTTAACACCTCCCAAACAGAGGGTGCCTCCAGGCAACAACAGCCAGACTACCTCTATGCAAATACCCTATGTTTTAAATCAGCCTGAGACTGATGGGTTCAGTGATGTTTGGTGTTGCTTGGTGTGTATTAATATTGTTATGTATCAAATAATAATAATAGTAATACTTTTAATGGATGCAGGAAGGAATGATGCAGAAAGAAGTAAATAATAATAATCTATATAAATAAAAATGTAATGTTAGTTCATGCTACCATCAGAACTCAAAAACCACTGGGGGAATTGACACCAAATTTGGACACAAGACACCTAACAGTCCAATTTATGTCCTCCACTCAAAAAAATTGATTTTGTCATTTGGGAATTGTCGTTGCTGGGATTTATAGTTTACCTACAATCAAAGAGCATTCTGAACTCCACCAATGATAGAATTGGGCCAAACTTAGCACACAGGGCTCCCATGACCAACAGAAAAAACTGGAAAGGTTTGGTGGACATTGGCCTTGAGTTTGGGAGTTGTAGTTCACCCACATCCAGAGAGCACTGTGGACTCAAACAATGAAGGATCTGGACCAAACTTGGCACAAGGACTCAATACGCCCAAATATGAACACAGATGGAGTTTGGAGGAAATAGACCTTGACATTTGGGATTTGTAGTTACTGGGATTTATAGTTCACTACAATTAAAGAGCATTCTGAAACCCACAAACGACAGAAATGGGCCAAACTTCCCACACAGAACCCCCATGACCAAGAGAAAATACTTAAGGCCATCCAGTCCAACTCTTCACCAGGGCAAGAAAATGTAATCAGAGCCCTCCTGACAAAGAGCCATCCAGTCATAAATATAGATAGATAGATAGATATGATTCTCTCTCACACACACAGATATAGTATCACAGATTTGAAAGAGACCCTTAAAGAAGGACTATTTATTTATTTATTTATTTATTTATTGCATTTGTTGACCGCCGTTCTCAGCCCTTTCGGGCGACTCACGGCGTTGTACAACATATAAAAACAGTTTACAATACAACCCTCATACAACACAATAAGCACATAACATCAATAATACAACAATAACAAGGACCTCCAATGGCCAAATGAACCTACCGACTAACTTTAAGAAAAAATTCCAATGCCTTTAAGTTTTTCTTTCCTTTTCTCTGATTACCTTTCACCTAAGAACATTTTCAGCAAGTCCTAATAGGTGGAAATTGATATTTAAATGTGTTTGTGCATCATTTCAGCAGTACTGTACATTAAAGTAGATTACAGTTAAAAAAAAATAATAATACAACAATAATTACTCTAAATCATCCGCGTCGTCTCATCGTAAAATCGTAAATCAATATCGTATTCCATATTCCGTTCCAGTCATCAATGCCAGTTGTTGTAATGTTTAGTTGAACGCCTGCTCGAATAGCCTAGTCTTTAAACTCTTGCGGAATGACATAAGGGAGGGCGCCTGTCTGATGTCCACAGGGAGGGTGCTCCATAGCCGGGGCGCCACCACCGAGAAGGCCCTATCTCTCGTCCCCGCCAAACGTGCCTGTGAGGCAGGCGGGATCAAGAGAAGGGCCTCCCCAGATGATCTTAAGGCCCTCGTGGGCTCATAGGCCGAGATGCGGTCAGAAAGGTATTTTTGGCCGGAACCGTTTAGGGCTTTGTAGGCCAGCACCAGCACCTTAAATTGGGCCCGGTAGCAGATCGGCAGCCAGTGGAGCTGGAACAACAAGGGCGTTGTGTGCTCCCTGCGTCCCGCTCCTGTTAGTAACATGGCTGCGCGCGCTGGACTAGCTGAAGCTTCCGGGCCGTCTTCAAGGGCAGCCCCACGTAGAGAGCGTTGCAGTAGTCAAGCGGGATGTGACCAGAGCGTGTACCACCGTGGCCAAGTCAGACTTCCCAAGATACGGGCGCAGCTGGCGCACGAGCCGAAGCTGTGCAAATGCTCCCCTGGTCACCGCTGAAACCTGGGGATCCAGGCTCAACGATATCCAGGATCACACCCAAGCTGCGAACCTGCGCCTTCAAGGGGAGTGCGACCCCATCCAGCACAGGCTGTAACCCTATACCCTGTTCGCCTTGCGACTGACCAGGAGTACCTCTGTCTTGTCTGGATTTAATTTCAGTTTGTTCGCCCTCATCCAGACCGTTACAGCGGCCAGGCACCGGTTCAGGACCTCGACAGCCTCCTTAGTAGCAGGTGGAAAGGAGTGACAGAGCTGGACATCATCTGCGTACAGATGACACCGCACCCCGAAACTCCGGATGATCTCGCCCAGCGGCTTCATGTAGATGTTAAACAGCATGGGGGACAGTATGGAGCCCTGTGGGACCCCACAGGTCAAAGGCTGTGGTGTCGAACAGGTGTCCCCCAATAACACCTTCTGGGTGCGACCCTCCAGAAATGACTGGAGCCACTGCAAAACAGTGCCCCCAAGGCCCATTTCCGCAAGGCGCCCCAGAAGGATACCGTGGTCGACGGTATCGAAGGCCGCTGAGAGGTCCAGGAGCACCAACAGGGACACACTCCCCCTGTCTAGCTCCCGGCGCAGATCATCCACTAAGGCGACCAAGCCGTCTCGGTACCATGTCCCGGCCTGAAACCAGACTGTGCAGGATCTAGATAATCCGTGTCTACCAAGAATACCTGGAGTTTTGAGGCCACCACACGTTCCATGACTTTGCCCAAAAAGGGGAGATTGGAAACAGGCCGAAAGTTGTCAAATTTAGTGGGGTCCAGTGATGGTTTTTTCAACAGCGGTTTTATAATAGCTTGTTTTAAGCTCGCTGGAATTCTGCCTTCCCGAAGGGAGGCGTTAACCACCACCGTTACCCACTCAGCCAATCCCCCTATGGCCTCCTTCAGAAGCCAGGATGGGCAGGGGTCTAGGATGGACGTAGTGGGCCTCATTCCTCCAAGTATCTTGTCCACATCCTCGGGCTTCACAAATTGAAAAGAATCCATCAAAATAGGACAAGCAGGTGCTCGTGTCACATCCTCAGAGACTGCATTTAACATGGTGTCCAGACCAGAACGGATCAAGGCGACTTTGTCTGCAAAGAACCGAGCAAATGCTTCACAGCGCGTGGCCGAATTGTCAGGGCTCCCGCCTAAAGTGGCGGGAGTTAACAGACCTCTGACAACCCGGAACAACTCCGCCGGACGGTTCCTTGCAGACGCAATAGTGGCCGCAAAGAAAGTTTTCTTTGCGGCTTTTATTGCCGCGGCATATGCCCTTAAAAAGGACACAAACCGTGTTCGGTTTGACTCGCTCGGCTCCGAACGCCACACGCTCTCTAGTTCCCTCTTCATTCGCTTCATCACTGCCAGCTTCTCAGTAAACCAAGGAGCTGGTTTAGCTTGGCTACTTGAGAGGGGACGTTCCGGAGCGATCGTGTCGATTGCCCTGGCCATCTCCCCATTCCAGAGAGCGATCAAGGCTTCGACATGGTCACCTACCGAGGTGGCGGGAAAATCTCCAAGAGCCGTCAGGAATCCATTCGGATCCATAAGCCTCCTGGGGCGGACCATCTTAATGGGTCCTCCACCTTTGCAGAGGACTATGATATGTTGCATATTCCAGAGTAGGCAAACCAGACACTCTCCACATCAACACTGACAAAGAAACAACAAGAAATACTGTTTACTCACAAGCATAAAGGAATTACATATATTAGAAACCAACACTTTCTCATTACTTTATTTTCCAGATCACCAGGCTGGGCCACAGCAACGCGTGGCAGGGGACAACTAGTAATAATAATAATTATATATTGACTTCAGCCAAATGCAGCATCGAATCCAATGCACAACTCAGTTTTCAAAACACTGAAATAAAAAAAGTATTAGCTGTGTATTAGATGCGATGATGCATGAGACTTAAGTCAATACGGTATTATTATTATTATTATTATTATTATTATTATTATTATTATTATTGTCTTCTATTGCTGATTTCGAAGTCAATGCACCCGGGACCAATGCTGATCTTGATTCTCGTCATCTTTCTTTCCTTTTCTCTTTCCAGGACGAGAACATCATGAATTCCATGCAACTCTTTGAAAACGTCATTTAGGACTTTTAGAGGGGAAAGACCCCTTTCCGGTTCCTCCGACCCTTCCGCCTCCTTGGCCTGCACTCAGACTTTCTTCCTTGCGAAGCACACACTCTCGATAGAGAAAGACAACAACAAAAGCAAACCAAAAACTCTTTTTTATATTCCAAAATTGGGAGAGGGAGGGAATAGACAAAACATAAACCGCCCAGGAAAAAAGATAATGCCATTGGCTTGCCGGATTTGCAGGGTTTTTGATGGCTGGGCATCTAAAGGAGGAAAAGAGACCAATGGTGAAGTGTGGTCCAAAGTGAAAAGGATGGGGACAGATGAGGCTTGGTGGCCATCTGTCGGGAGGGTTTGGATGGTGCTTTTCCTGCCTGGAGGAAAGAAAAGAGTTGGTGTAGATGCCTTTTGGGGGATCCTTGCAACTCTTCTCCAACAAAGAGGGGAAAACCTTGTGTTAAGAAGAGGCTATCTGTCGGGAGGGATCGGATTGCACTTTCCTTTATGGCAGAAAGAGGTCTGGGCTGGGTTCCCACTTCCAACTCTTGAAGTCTTTGATTCTATTTCTTATGTTTATAATTGAATGGTCATCTCTCGGGAGAGATCAGATGGTGCCGTCCTTTATTGCAGAAAGGAGGTGGACTAGATGGTCTTTGGGGTCCCCCTTTCCAAGACCAATTTTCTCCATGAACCTACTGATGACAATGAAATTGGATGGCCATCTGTCAAGAGGTTTTGGATCATGCCATCTTGGCAGGATGGGGTTGGACTAGATGACCTTTGGGGTCCCTCTTTCCAAGCCCAATTTTCTCCATGAACCTACTGATGACAATTGGATGGCCATCTGTCAGGAGGGTTTGGATCGTGCCATCTTGGCAGGATGGGGTTGGACTAGATGACCTTTGGGGAACGCCTTTCCAAGCCCAATTTTCTCCATTAACCTACTGATGATAATGAAATTGGATGGCCATCTGTCAGGAGGGTTTGGATCGTGCCATCTTGGCAGGATGGGGTTGGACTAGATGACCTTTGGAGGACCCTTCCAATACTATTATTTTGGGAAAGCTTTCCAGCCATCTACAGAGGAAGGGGCAACTTTGGGGGCTTCTTTAGTTTTATTAAACATGGGACCCCAAATATCTGATTCTTCTTTACTTAAAGGAGGAAAAGAACAGGAGTGTGTCTACATTGGGGAATTAATGCGGTTTGGACACCACTTGGAACTGCCATATCTCAATGCTGTGAGTATCCTGGGGAGTTGTAGTTTTACAAAGTCTTGAGCCTTCTCTGCCAAACTCCCAAGACACCGTAGCATTAAGCCATGGCAGCCCAAGCGGTGCCAAACTGCATTAATTCTACAGTGTAGATGCACCCAAGATGTATTCATTCAGATGTAAACACATGCTCTCTGAACCAAGGGAGAACTTCCTAAGCATTTTTATCAGAACTGCTGCCCTGTGCCATAGATCCCAAATGGGACCGGACCTGTCTCTTTAATTTGTCCCTTCCTTGGCAGCATTTCCCAGGTTCTACACTGTAGTTTTAACGCAGTTTAATGCCACTTTAGTTGCTATGGAAATCCTGTACATTCTTGAGCCTTCCTTGCTAAGGAGAGCCTTCCCAAACGACAACCTTCCATGATTCTCAAACATTAAGCTATGGCAGTTATAAGTGGCACCAAACTGGGTTAATTCCACAGTGTAGATTGATGCACCCTTTCTCAGGATTTGTGAGTTTGCACTAGAGAAGTCGTATCTCCAATCATTTTGGGCAGGGATGGGAAACAATGAACTATTGTTCTTCCCAAAGGTAAGAAAAACCCACAATATATTGCAATTCAGGATTGATTCTGTGAAAAGCAAAAGGAAATGCACTTTTCATTTTTTGCATTTTGCACTGACAAAACATTGCATCTACATTGTAGAATTAATGCGGTTTAGGCACCCAATTGGATCTGCCATGGCTCCAAGCAATGGAATCCTGAGAGTTGTAGTTTCACAAGGTCTCAAGAGTGCTGGCGCCACACCAAAACTACAACTCCCAGGATTCCATAGCAGTCGAAAGTGGTATCAAACTGCTTTAAATCTACAGTGTAGCTGCATCCCGCAGTAAGTATTTTGGGGGTCTCGACTCCGTAACGAGGACGAGTAATGTAAAATTAATTTACTAAATAACATTAAAGGAACCAGATCTTGGATGCTAAGCAGGTGAGGCAGATAAGGAAAATAATAATAATAATAATAATAATAATAATAATAATAATAATAATAATAGCAACAACAACAACAATACTATGTAACAATATTATCTGTTCCTGGTTTGAAAGTAGTATTTCCTATTTAATTGTGAGGTCCTTACTATGGAAGTAGTTGTTCTATGTATTGTGGAAGGCTTTCAATGGCCAGAATCACTCAGTTGTTGTGTGTTTTCTGGGTTGTATAGCCATGTTCCAGAAGCATTCTCTCCTGACGTTTCGCCTGCATCTATGGCAGGCATTCTCAGAGATTGTGAGGTCTGTTGGAAACCAGGGAAATGGGGTTTATATATCTGTGGAATAATGTCCAGGGTGGGAGAAAGAACTCTTGTCTGTTGGAGGTAGGTGTGAATGTTTCAATTGGCCACCTTGATTAGCATTAATGGCCTAGCAGTTTTCAAGGTCTGGCTGCTTCCTGCCTGGGGCAATCCTTTGTTGGGAAGTGCTTGTTTCTTGTCTGGACTTCCCCTGTTTTCTCTACAATTATAAGAGTAAATAAACTCTAAAATAATAACAGTAAATAAAGAAACTCAAAAACAGAGGCAGAAACAATGTTGGTTTATTTATTTTATTTATCGTGTCAGAAGTGAGTTGGTTAAAATGCATTAGAAACAAGAAGCAAAGTTAAAACCTAAATATGATGCTAAATGTCCTTTGACCAGTAGCTGGCTACTTGGAGTGCCTCTGGTGTCACTGTGAGGAGGTCCTCCATTGTGCATGTGGCAGGGCTCAAGCCGCATTGAAGTAAGTGGTCTGTGGTTTGCTCTTCTCCGCAGTCACATGTTGTGGACTCCACTTTGTAGTCCCATTTCTTAAGGTTGGCTCTGCATCTCGTGGTGCCAGAGCTCAACCTGTTCAGCACCTTCCAGGTTGTCCAGGAGGGAGTTTCTCATCCGGTCTCACCCACTGATTGAGGCTCCAGGTTTTAGCCTGCCACTTTTGGACTCTCGCTTGCTGAGATGTTCCTGTGAGTATCTCTGTAGATCTTAGAAAGCTATTTCCTGATTTAAGGCATTAGCATGCAGGCTGATATCCAAACAGAGGATGGGTTGGAAATGTCACTGTCTTGGTCCTTTCATTGTTGGTTGCTACTTCCCAATGGATGTCAGGCGGTGCCAGCTAAGCAGTGTAATTTCTCCAGTGATGATAGGCATAGGCATCCTTTGATAATGTAGTACGTCTCATTAAGAGCCTCATCCACTATTTTAGCATGGTGAGATGTGCTCCACACTGGGCATGCATACTCAGCAGCAGAGTAGCATAGTGCAAGGGCAGATGTCTTCACTGTGTCTAGTTGTGATCCCCAGGTTATGCCAACCAGCTTCCACATGATATTGTTTCTAGCATCCACTTTTTGCTTGATAGTCAAGCAGGGATTTTTGTAAGTCAGGTCATGGTTCAGAGTGACTCCCAGATATTTGGGTGTGCTGCAATGCTCCAGTGGGATTCCTTCCCAGGTAATCCTCAGAGCTCAGGATGCTTGTCTGTTCTTGAGGTAAAAAGCACATGTCTGCATTTTAGATAGATTAGTAATCAGCTGCTTTTCCCTGTAATAGGCAGTAAGAGTGCCTAAAGCTTCAGAGAGCTTCCGTTTGACCGTTTCAAAGCTTCCTGCTTGAGTGGTGATGACACAATCATCAGCATAGATGAAACTCTCTGTCCCTTCTGGCAGTGGTTGAATTGGGTTGTTTTTTCGGGCTATATGGCCATGGTCTAGAGGCATATTTCTCCTGATGTTTCGCCTGCATCTATGGCAAGCATCCTCAGAGGTAGTGAGGTCTGTTGGAACTAGGAAAAGGGTTTATATATCTGTGGAATGACCAGGTGAGACAAAGGACTCTTGTCTGTTGGAGCTAGGTGTGAATGTTTCAACTGACCACCTTGATTAGCATTTTAATGGGCTCACAGTACCTGGAGCAATCTTTTGTTGAAAGGTGATTAGATGTCCTTGTTTGCTTCCTCTCTGTTAGAATTTTAAATCTAATCACCTCTCAACAAAAGATTGCTCCAGGCACTGTCAGGCCATCAAATGCTAATCAAGGTGGTCAGTTGAAACATTCACACCTCGCTCCAACAGATAAGAGTCCTTTGTCCCACCCTGATCATTCCACAGATATATAAACCCTTTTCCTTAGTTCCAACAGACCTCACTACCTCTGAGGATGCTTGCCATAGATGCAGGCGAAACGTCAGGAGAAAATGCCTCTAGAACATGGCCATATAGCCCAAAAAAACCTATAACAATCCAGTGATTCCGGCCATGAAAGCCTTCGACAATACAGTGGTTGAACTGGTTGAGACTCAATGAGATAGCCATTGAAAAACCAGAGCAAAATGAGCTATAGAAGGATGTCCTGTAAAAACAAAGTTTTTGCAGTTTAGTCAACTTTTCCCATGGTTTTATGATAGAACTAATGAAGAAAAGACATTTATAAGCCAGGAACAAAAATCGTGTTACATAGTGTAATTATTATTATTATTATTATCATTATCAATATTGGATGGGAAACAATGATGTTGGTGGTATTGGCACTAATTTGACCGCCACTTAGACTCAATGCTGCGGGATGCTGGCAGTTGTAGTTTGCCAGAGAAGGCTTTGCAAAATGATTACATCCCACAGCATCGAGCTGCAGCACTTCAGACAGGATCAAACTGCATTAAATTCCACAGTGTAGATGCACCCAAAGAGTATGAAAAATCTCATTCGACTTGGGGCCGTTCTTCCTTGGAAAACCTGGGTTTGCAACCCTGTGCTTCCGGATTCGAATCGTGTGCAATATTACGGAATGGCTGCATGCCTCACCGGAGGAGCCCCCTTTTCCCCCCACGGCTCCAGCATCCACCTATTTTCACAGCACAACCTGTTCTCTGTAATGATTCGATCTTCAGTCACCGTATATTTTAATAAAATAAACATGCAAAAAAAAAACAAAAACAAAACAGCTTCTGCTTGTCATGTGTCTGTTCAGGAAAAAAAGCAAAACTTCCATTGCTTCAATATTGAATGCAAAAAAAAAGGGAAAATGTGAAGGATTCTATAGCAATGAGCCATGGTAGTCAAAGTGGTGTTAAACTACATTAATTCCACAGTGTAGATGCACCTGTGGTCTCCTATGGTGATTCCTAATTGTAATAATAATATCAAAATGGTGTTAAATTGCATTAATTCCAGAGTGTAGATATACCTATGGTCTCCAATGATGATGCCTAATAATCATCATCATCATCATCATCATCATCATCATCATCATCAACATCAAAGTGGTGTTAAACTGCATTAATTCCGTAGTGTAGATGCAGCTATGCTTACCTATGTTGATGCTGAATAATAATAATAATAATAATAATAATAATAATAATAATAATAATAATAATGGTGGTGGTGGTGATTAGCACACTGGGTGCAGTGCCTAAAGACCTTGGCCTGCACAGTCGGCGCTGACAAGATTACCATCTGCCAGCTGCAAAAGGCCACCTTACTGGGATCTGCACACATAATTTGCTGATACATCACACAGTCCTAGACACTTGGGAAGTGTCCGACGTGTGATACAATACAACAGCCAGCAGAGTGTCTGCTGTGGACTCATCTTGTTGCATTTCAAATAATAACAATAATAATAATAATAATAATAATAATAATAATAATAATAATAACATCACAGCGGTGTTAAATTGCATTAATTCCACAGTGTAGATGCACCTATGGTCTCCTATGATGATGCCTAACAACAACAATATTTATTATTCAAACTTATATGCCGCCACCCCCCTAGGGCTCGGAGCGGCTTACAAAACAAACTGGAATCTAACACAAATTAAAACAACAGATCAAAGGTCAAAAGCCTGTTGAAACAAATATGTCTTACAAGCCCTGCGGAAGGCTGATAAGTCCCGCAAGGCACGAACTTCTGGTGGCAGAGTGTTCCAGAGTGATGGTGCCACTGCTGTAAAGGCTCTGCGTCTAGTTGCTATTAGACGCAAGATTTTAAAACTGGGAACTTCCAATAAATCTTGGTTCTCAGAATGGAGAGATCTCTGGGGTTGGTAGGCGGTGAGGCGGTCCCTTAGGTACATCGGCCCCAGACTATATAAGGCCTTAAAGGTAAGTACCATCACTTTAAAAGTGATCCGGTGCTCAACTGGCAACCAATGCAGCTGCAGTAAGATTGGTGTTATGTGGCATCTCATCAGAATTCCCGCAAGAAGCCGAGCAGCTGCATTTTGTACCAACTTGAGCTTCCGGATCACCGACAGAGGAAGGCCAATGTAGAGGGTGTTACAGTAGTCCAGTCTTGAGATGACCATGGCCTGGATCACCGTAGCTAGGTCGTCCCTGGACAGGGAGGGGGCCAGCCGTCTAGCCTGCCGCAGATGAAATAAGGCAGTTCTGCTAACGGTGGAGACCTGGGCCTCCATCGTCAGCAGAGGGTCCAAAAGGACTCCCAGACTCTTTACCAATGATGACAGGCATAGTGCTTCGCCATCCAGGGTGGGCAGATGGATACCCCCACTGCCCGGTCGACCCAGCCATAGGATCTCTGTCTTTGCTGGATTCACCCTCCACCTGCTGGCATGCAGCCATCCAGTAACGGCCTCGAGGCACTGATGAAAGTAATCGGGTACAGAGTCTGGCCGGCATTCCATCTTATTATAATTATTTCACAGTGGTGTTAAACTTCATTAATTCTGCAATGCAAATGCACCTAGTCTCCTATGACGATTGGTAATAGTAATAATTTCATTATTATCACAGTGGTGTTAAACTGCATTAATTCTGCAGTGCAAATACACCTAGTCTCCTATGATGATTCCTAATAATAATATCAAAGTGGTTCAATACTGCATGAATCCCACAGTGTAGATCACGGGTCCTCAAACCTTTTAAACAGAGGGCCAGGTCACAGTCCCTCAAACTGTTGGAGGGCCGGATTATAATTTGAAAAAAAAACATGAATGAATTCCTATGCACACTGCACATATCTTATTTGTAGCGGAAAAACCGCTTAAAAATAATACAGTAATTAAAATGAAGAACAATTTTCACAAATATAAACTTATTGGTATTTCAATGGGAAGTGTGGGTCTGTTTTTGGCTGATGAGATAGGATTATTGTTGTTGTGTGCTTTCAAGTCGTTATAGACGTAAGTTGACCCTGAGCAAGGGCCGGGTAAATGACTTTGGAGGGCCGCATTCGGCCCCTGGGCCTTAGTTTGAGGACCCCTGGTGTAGATGCACCTATGATCTCATACGATAATACCTAATAATAATAATAATCACAGCGATGTATTAATTCCACAGTGCAGCTGCACTTATGGTCACTGCTGAATTAATGCAGTTTAACAACACTTAAACAACAATTGTCGCTATACAATTAACAATGACAAACAATGCATAAAGCGAGGTAGGTAAAAGCTTTCCATCTTTTTCCATCTCTGGCATCTGGAGGCTGTGCGCGACATTGGCCAGCGGGCAGTGCTGTCACTCCATCTTCCATGCTGAGGACCTTTGTTGTCCTTAGGTGCTCTCCCTGTCAAATTGCCAACATGTCCGCATGGAAGCCTTTTATTACCTTCCCACCAAAGTGTTACCTATTTATCTACTTACATTACTGTTTTCAAACGTGAGAAGAAGCTGGGCTGGCTCACCCCAACCCAGGCTTGAACTATCAACCTTTCGATTGGCAAGATTTTCTGCAGATGGCAGTTTAACCCACTGTGCTAAAATACGAGGGGTATTTTTTAAGTAAGGTCCATTTGAACATAAGTACACAACGAAAGTTTATTTCAAAAAAGTAAATTTAATTTCAGAAAGTACATACTTCACTTTATTTTTCGACATAGTTGCCAAGTTTGTTCAAACACTTATCATACCTCTGAACCAATTTTAAAATACCTCTTCATAAAAACTTGCCGCCTGCTCCGATAACCAAGAGTAATCAAAGAAGGGCGACCGGAGCGGTCCTCATCATGGACGTTGTCACAGCCATCTTTGAATTGTCATACCCACTTATGCACTTTGCTTTCACTCATAACAGTATCACCGTACACTTCACAAATCTGTCGATGAATTTCTGCAGCAGGCAGGTTCCTTGCTGACAAAAACCGTATCACTGAGCGAACCTCACATGCGGAGGGTGAGTTGATAGTCTTAAACATTTTTAAAGCACAGAACAGAACCGTACAGGTTAGCTACAGAGAGGAAACTGAGCACAGTTATTCCCGAGGCATGCCGGTACACAACACACGCGCTCATTGCGGTATGCGCGCGAACTACTAGTGTCTACAACAAAACGGACCTTACTTAAAAAATACCCCTTGTATATGAGATATATTTTAGATAAAGGTAAAGGTTTTCACCTGACATTAAGTCGAGTTGTGTCCCACTCTGGGGGATAGTGCTCATCTCCATTTCTAAGCCAAAGAGCCGGTGTTGTCCGTAGACATCTCCAAGGTCAAATAGCCAGCATGACTGCATGGAGTGCCGTTACCTTCCCGCCGGAGCAGCACCTATTGATCTACTCACATGTGCATGTTTTCAAACTGCTAGGTTGGCAGCAGCTGGGGCTAACAGTAGGAGCTCACCCCGCTCCTCCATTTTTGAAATGCCTTTAAAAAGTAACCCAACTTTACTTTTAATTATTCTATCTCTATCTCTGTTTCTATATTATTCATCCAAAGCTACTGACTTTTCTGTATCTATCTTTTTTATTATAATAATGTATCTTGTTTTTAACTCAAATAAAGATTATATAAATTAAATTAAATAAAATTAAATAAAAAAGTAACCCAAGAAAATAACTAAGAGCTACTACCAGTTTATAATGTATTTTCCTGAGATTTCCACTCAATTGTTTCAATAATGGCCAGATTTAATTTTGTTTCCATAGTATATATTTGAAAGGATTGTTTGCTACTTTGGGTCTGGATCCTGCGAAACGAGTAAGTTACAAATAAATATAATAATGAGTAATAGTAACAACAACAACAACAACAACTAATAGAACCCTCTAAACATGACTCTCTCTGTTCTAGCTTAGCTGAGATGAAGCCCCGCCTCCTCTCCATCATGATTGGACGCTGCCGCCTTGAGCCCTAGGAATCGTGACCCCGCCCCCGCTTTCCTGCTTTCTGATTGGACGCCGCGCCTTTCCTAGTCCTGAGCCTGCAAAGAGCAAAGGGCAGGAGCTGCAAACAGCTGTTGGAGAAGCGGCGTTTTTGGAGGGAGCCAGGAAACCCTGCAAAGCACAGGTTTAGTTCGTGTACTGATTGGTTGCATTTCTTGGGTTGGTTTCATTTATTTCTTGGTTGTAGAAATTTGCAGCAGGGATTGTTTGGGTGGTTCATTTTGCCACACATTTACAAAATGCACAGGTAGGCCAGTACAATGAGCCCAAGCATGCAAAGGGATCTCTTGGAGCAGAAGCTTTTTGGATCTACACAGTAGATTTAATGTAGTTTGGCACCACTTTAACCTCTATGGCTTAATGCTCAATATATGTATGTATCTGTGTGTGTATACTTCCTTGCATCAAATGGCAAAAACATGGTTCCATTTTAGAAATATTTAAAATATGTGTATATATACATGCATATGTGTGTGTGTGTGTATTTATATATATTCCTGGATGACTTTAATGCTCCCTTGTATCAAATGGCAAAAGCATGGTTTGCTTTTAGGAATATTTAAAATATTTAAAATATGTGTATGTTTATATGTATGTGTGTGTGTGTATTTCCTGGATGACTTTAACACTTCCTTGTATCAATTAGCAAAAGCATAGTTTGCTTTTAGGAATATTTGAAATATGTGTATATATACATGCATATATATGTATACACACACATACAGATGCATATATGTACACACACACACATATATATGCACACATATATTTTAAATATTCCTAAAACCACACTTTTGCCATTTGATACAAGGAAGTGTTAAAGTCATCCAGGAAAGTCACTGTAAACAGTTATTTTTTGCGTAATATTTACTTAAACTTTTTTCATTGTAAGAGACTGCATTAACTGTAACATAGAGCCCCCAGTGGTGCAGTGGGTTAAACCCCTGTGCTGGCAGGACTGAAGACTGACAGGCCGCAGTTTCGAATCCGGGGAGAGGCGGATGAGCTCCCTCTATCAGCTCCAGCTCCTCATGCGGGGACATGAGAGAAGCCTCCAACAAGGATGATAAAACATCAAATCATCCGGGCGTCCCCTGGGCAACGTCCTTGCAGACGGCCAATTCTCTCACACCAGAAGCGACTTGCAGTTTCTCAAGTCGCTCCTGACATGACAAAAAAAAAAACAACAACACCTGCTTATATAGAACTGCAGTGTTTGTTGACTCATTCCATCCATTTGACACTTTCAGTACTTGACTCGCATTTTTGTAATTAAAAATACCTAATTAATTTTTAATATTTCTAACAAACTCCTGTGATTCCATGGAGCCTTGCAGTGAAAGTGGTGCCGAACTGCATTATTGATCCAATGTAGATGCACCCAGTGTTTCCTTTATCATCTTCTCTGCTTCCTTGCAGGCTTGAATGCAGGGGCCTCTGCACAGGGCTCTTTCGAAGGGTCTTGGGACACGTTTTTGGGGGTCCAGGGGGGCTTCCGGCCTCTGCAGCGGAGCCATGCGCCTAGTTCAGTTCCGCACCGAAGGGCCAGCGTCGGAGCCCCGGATCGGCCTGGAGGTGAAGGACGGAGGGGACGTCCTGGACCTCAACAGCTTGGACCCTTCTCTGCCCAAGTCCATGCGGGGCTTTTTGGAGGCTGGAGAGACCGCACTCCAAGTGGCCAAGAGGTACTCTGATGAGGTTTGATTCCCCTTTGGAAACAATTAAACAACAGAAATACAATGTGTCACAAAAATATCATTGCAGATTAGAGAAATGTGAGTTTAATATGATGTGTGGGAACGAATGGAAGAAATTAAGGATGTATGGATGGAGTTAATAATTTTGGAAATGCCACTAAAAGACCAAGGCCTGTAATGACTAACTACCTGCTTGCTGGACTGTAATTAATTAAAGGTAACGGCACTCCGTGCAGTCATGCTGGCTATGTGACCTTGGAGATGTCTACGGACAACGCCGGCTTTTCAGCTTAGAAATGGAGATGAGCACTATCCCCCAGAGTCGGACACAACTCGACTTAATGTCAGGTGAAAACCTTTACCTTGGTCTAAAATATCTATATATAAATGCTCTGTACATAATGAGTACTTTAAAAACAAAAGAACCAAAGAACGAAATCACACCCAATTTGGCAACAAAATGTCTCACAATAGAAGGAGTGACCATCACTCAAAAATTTATGATTTTGTCATTTGGGAGTTGCAGTTGCTGGGATTTATAGTTCACCTACAATCAAAGAGCATTCTGAACTCCATCAATGATGGAATTCATCCAAACTTGGCACACAGAACTCCCATGACCAACAGAAAACAGTAGAAGAGTTTGGTGGGCATTGACCTTGAGTTTGGGAGTTGTAGTTCACCTACATCCAGAGAGCATTGTGGATTCAAACAATGATGGATCTGGACCAAACTTGGCACAATCACTCAATATGCCCAAATATGAACACAGACGGAGTTTGTGGGAAATAGACCTTGACATTTGGGAGTTGTAGTCATGGATTCACAGTTCACCTACAATCAAAGAGCATTCTGAACCCCACAAACAACAGAATTGGGGCAAACTTCCCACACAGAACCCCCATGACCATCAGAAAATACTTAAGGCCATCCAGTCTAACTCCCTTCGTCAGGGCAAGAAAACGTAATCAAAGTTCTCCTGATAAAGAGCCATCCAGCCAGAGATATAGATGGATAGATAGATAGATAGATAGATAGATAGGACTCACACACAGAGAGATATAGTATCATAAGGGACTCTTAAAGAAGGACAATTATATGTTGCCATGTTCCAGAGTAGGCAAACCAGACACTCTCCACATCCAACACTGAAAAAGAAACAGCAAGAAATACTGTTTACTGTTTACCCACGAGCATAAAGAAATTACATATATTAGAAACCAACATTACTTTATTTTCCAAACTGGGCCACAGCAACGTGTGGCAGGAGACATCTAGTAAGAACTGAAAAGTAAACTCTGATAAGAACTGAGACAGTGATAACAGAAATGTTTACAATGTTAAGAAGGAAGTCAACACAAGGCTGACACCAATAAAGAAGAATCATCACCTGGCCAAGACACTGAGATGGAGGCAGGATGGAAGATGTCTATCATTAATTTACAACTTTGGAACTACACCAGCAGAATATTCCTATTAAGAATAATAATAATAATAATAATAATAATAATAATAACTTTATTTGTATACTGCTCCATCTCCCCGAGGGGACTCAGAGTGGTTCCCAGGTAACATCACAAAACATACAAAGCAAAAAACAACAACAACATAACCATAAAATTAACAAAACAAAATATAAGCATAAAAATTGTCGCCATAACACACATATATTAAAAATAATCCTCAATGTAATAATACTCAAATTGTGACAGACCTGAGGAGTCTGGTTCACCTGCCATGCTCTACTCCATGGGGAGGAGAGAGATGGTGTATATGGAGAGTGGCAGATTTGCAAGGAAGTAGTCTGGTCACTTTGGGGCTTCTTTCTCAAGGGAAGAGGAAGAAGAGTGCTTTTGGAGTCTTGGATTTTGTGCAGGGACCCAGATTCTGCTGTATGGAAAACAGCGCGCCATTGTGATTTTGTGTTACGAAATCCAGCATATAGATCTCATTTGCTGTGACATACTGTGTTTTTGTGTCAGGAAAATAATAATAATAATAATAATAATAATAATAATAATAATAATAATAATCGTAGTGTAATACAGGTAAACTCTCAGTTAACCCAGTCTGGGGATTAGTAGATGCCGGATAAGTGTAGTTTCTGGTTGCTTGAGTGTACTCTTAAAAATAAGCCTAACTCATTCTATGACCTGTAGTACTATGCCATAACCATCAGCTTTGTCATGACTTAATATTCACATTGGAATACAGTCATTCATAGCAAATAGTACGTAAATGTAAGGGTTTTCCCTGACGTGAAGTCTAGTTGTGTCCCATTCTGGGGGTTGGTGCTCATCTTCATTTCTAAGCCGAAGAGCCAGCGTTGTCCATAGACACCTCCAAGGTCATGTGGCCGGCATGACTGCATGTAGTGTCATTACCTTCCCACAGAAGCGGTACCTATTGATCTACTCACATTTGCATGTTTTCTAACTGCTAGGTTGGCAGAAGCTGGGACCTTATCCTGTTCCCCGGATTCAAACCGCTGACCTTTCGGTCAGCAAGTTCAGCTGCTCAGCGGTTTAGCCCACTACGCCACCGGGGGCAATAGCAAATAGAGAAAAACATAATGTGACACAGCTTTACAGTCTTGTAAACCAGCTTTGTGAATGCAGTAGGCATGATTTCTTTGGTTTTTTCACTGGTTACTTGAGAGTTCCAGTTGCTTGAGGCCTGGTTAACTGAGAATTTATAGTACCTATCTATCCATCTGTCTCGTTTGAGAGAAGAAAATGTGACATTCATATTCATAATAGTAGTAATAATGTGTTGTCGAAGGCAGTCACAGGATTGCTGTGAGTTTTCTGGGCTGTCTGGACATGTTCCAGAAGCATTCTCTCCTGACGTTTCGCCCACATCCATGGCATTCATTTTCAGAGGTTTAGGGGTCTGTTGGAAACTAGGCAAGTGAAGTTTATATATCTGTGGAATGTCCAGTGTGGAAGAAAGAATTCTTGTCTGCTTGAGTCCGACCAAAGGATTCCCCCACGCAGCAACCAGCCAGGCTTTGAAGTTGCAAAGACATTCAGTGCTAATCAGGCTGGCCATTTGCAACATTCACACTTGCCTCAAGCAGACAAGAGTTCTTTCTATCACCCTGGACCTTATTCCACAGATATAGAAACTCCACTTGCCTAGTTCCCAACAGATCTCACAACTTCTGAAGATGCCTGCCATAGATGTGAGTGAAATGTCAGGAGAGAATGCTTCTCAAACACAGCCAGACAGCCCAGAAACCTCACACCAATCCAATAATAATAATAATAATAATAATAATAATAATAATAATAATACAAGTGTACTCTCAGTTAATCTATGGCACCTATGGAGATCAATAGATGTCGGATAAACGTTTCTGGTTGCATAAGAGTTACTCTTAATATATTATTATTATTATTATTATTATTATTATTATTATTATTATTATTATTGATATCCCAGTTTTCTTGGTTCTATGGGATCCTGGGAGCTGTAGCTTGCCAAGGCCTGTATCTAGCCTACAGAATTAACTCAGCTTGAATTAACGCAGCTTGAAAGACCACTTAAACTGCCAGGGCCCAGTGCTGTGAGATGTTGGGAGATGCAGTTTGCCAAGGTTTTTTTTTTTTGCTTTCTCTTCCAAAGAATATGAACTACAAAACTCACAGCATCCCATAGTATTGAATCTGAGCAGTTCAAGGGGTATCGAGCTGCATTTGTCCTACAGTGCAGATGCATGCACTCTTTCCTTGTGGCGGGGAGTTCCCCTGGTTTCCCTATGTAAAATAGGCATGTCTTCCCTTTCTCTCCGCAGAGCACAGGCATCTGATCAACGTGCCATTCCCCGTTCCCAAGTGACCCTTTTGGCCCCCATTACGAACCCTGACAAAGTGATTTGTGTGGGGATGAACTACGTGGACCATTGTCTGGAGCAAAATGTGAAGATCCCTAAAGAACCCATCATTTTCAGTAAATTCTCCAGCTCCATCGTGGGGCCCTACGATCCCATCATCCACCCTGCGGAGAGCAATGTGAGTATCTATCTATCTATCAGGAGCAAAGTACGTTTGTTGGTGCCACAAACACTGTTGCTAGGTGAGGTGGCCCACATGTGAGGTCACTGGATGGCGCCGTTGCAAGGTGAAGTGGCCTCACTGTGGTGTCACCATGAAAGAAAAGTGATGTGTGTCTGAAGGTAAAGAAAAAGCAGAAAGAAGTGGAGAGGGGGTGGGAGGGAGGGAGGGAGGGAGGGAGGGAGGGAGGGAGGGAGGGGGGAGGAGGGAGGGAGGGAGGAAGGAAGAAAAGGAAGGAAGGAAGGAAGGAAGGGGAAAGGTATGAAGGTAGGGAAGGAAAGGAAGGAAAGAAAGAGAAAAACTAGGGAAAGGAAGGGAGGAGAGAAGAAAGAAAAAGGAGGGAAGAGAAAGGGGAAAGGAGCAGAGGGAAAGAGAAAAAGAAGGAAAAGAAAGGAAGAAAAGGAGGAAAGAAAGAAAAAGGAGAGAAGGAAACATATGAAGGGAGGGGAGGGAAGAGGGAAAGAAAGGGAGGAAAAGAAAAAAGAATTAATGGAAAGAAGGAATGGGAGGAGAGAAGAAAGAAAAGGGAAGAAAGGGAAAGGGAAAAGGATATGAGGGGAGGGAGATACAGAAAGAAAAAGAAGAAAGAAGAGGAATGGAGGAGGAAAGAAAGAAGAAAGAAAGGAAAGAGGGAAAGGTATGAAGGGAGAGAAGGGAAGAGGGAAAGAGAGTGAAAGAATGAATGAAGGGAAAGAAAGGGAGGGAGGAGAAATGAAAGAAAAGGGAAGAAATGGAAAGGGAAAAGGATATGGGGGAGGGAAAGAAAGAAAGAGAATAAGAAGAGAAAGGAAGGGAGGAGGGAAGAAAAAAAGGAAAGAAGAAAGAAACAGTAAAGGGGAATGTATGAAGGGAAGATGGAAGGAAAAAATGAAGGAAGGAAGGAAGGAAGGGAAAGGGAGAAAAGAAGAAAGAAAAAGAACGAATAGAAAGGGAAAATGATATGAGAGAAAGAACGAAAGAGAAAAAGTAGGGAAGGGAGGAGGGGAGAAAGAAAAAGGAAAGAAGGAAACATATGAAGGGAGGGAAGGGAAGGGGGAAAGAAGGGAGGAAAAGAAAAAAAGAATGAATGTAAAGAAGGGAAGGAAGGGAAAAGGGAAAAACAGAAAAAGAAGAGGAATGGAGGAGGAAAGAAAGAAGAAAGAAAGGAAAGAGGGAAAGGTATGAAGGGAGAGAAGGGAAGAGGGAAAGAGAGTGAAAGAATGAATGAAGGGAAAGAAAGGGAGGGAGGAGAAATGAAAAAAAAGGGAACGGAAAGGGAAAAGGATATGCAGGAGGGAAAGAAAGAAAGAGAAAAAGAAGAGAAAGAAAGGGAGAAAAAGGAAAGAACAAAGAGAAAGAGGAAAAGTATGAAGGGAGGGATCATAGAATCAAAGACTTGGAAGAGGCCATCCAGGCCATCCAGTCCAACCCCCTGCCAAGAAGCAGGAATATTGCATTCAAATCACCCCTGACAGATGGCCATCCAACCTCTGGGAAGGAAAGCGAAAGAAAGAAAGGTCATTTTTGTCCCCTTTCTTGTATATCAGGATTAAGATGGATGTAGACCACCATGCTGTGCGGTTAATATGAGTGAAGAGGGTGGCCAGGAGGGCTAATGCATGGTCGCGCATGTGTGTGTGTGTGTGTCTATGCATACATTTAATTGCCCATCTTGCTGGTCTTTTTGGTGCCAAGGCTCAACGTTTCCTTTTGTTTTCCTTTCTAGGAAGTCGACTGGGAAGTGGAGCTTGCTTTCGTCATTGGCAAGAAAGGCAAACACATCCAGGTGAGGCGGGAAACAATGGAAAGAGACTGAGAAGAAGTTTAATTTATGTTGGTGTAAAATGCTGCAACTCTGCTTTTGGGTGCATGGAAAAAGACACACCAATACACCTTTTGATTGCTCTTTTTTGACCTTTCAACTTCAGGAGGCAGATGCCATGTCCCATGTGGCTGGTTATACCGTCGCCCACGATGTCAGCGCCAGGGACTGGCAAATGAAGAGGAATGGCAAGCAGTGGCTTTTGGGGAAAACCTTTGATACCTTTTGCCCGCTGGGTCCGGCTCTGGTCACCAAGGATGCCGTGTCAGGTCGGGGCGCTACAAATCCCAGTATTTAGTGTCTCAGTTTGCACCTTTTGAATGGGAAGGTATTATTTTCCAAACTGCAGCAACCATGTTATGGAACTCTGGGAGTCGTAGCGCGGTGCTCTTGGGCAGCACTCAAGGCCTTTCCAAACTACAACTCCCAGGACTCTGGAGCTACAACTGCATTCATTCAACAGTGTAGATGCACCCTTAATTTTGACAGGAAACGTCTCAAAAATAACTGAAACCTCTTTTAAAAATAAATGGAGTTCTGAATAAGGGATGTCGAACATGTCCCTTTTATAAGAGGTTTACCTGGTTCTGTGTCTCTCTTTCTGTAGATCCTCACAACCTAGGGATCCGCTGCCGAGTGAATGGAGAGCTGGTCCAGAACAGCAGCACCAAGCAGATGATCTTCAAAACGGAAGCGCTGGTCGCTTGGGTTTCCCAGTAAGGAAGCCCTCCCTTTCCCCAAAGCATGCTCACCCTCTTGCCCAACATCCCTTTATTACCCAAAATGGCATCCATAACTTATTTTTCAGACTGCCTGGCCATGTTCCAGCAGCATTCTCTCCTGACGTTTCACCTGCATTTGTGGCTAATGGCATCTTCAGAAGTTCTGTTAGTAGTGAAGCAAGTGGAATGTATAATGTATCTATAGCTGTAGAATATTATGTCCAGTGTGGGAGAAAGAGCCGTTGTCTGTGTAAAGCAAGTGTGAATGTTGCAATTAGCCAGCTTGATTAGCATTGAGTAGCCGTGAAACTGCAAAATCAATCAGTGAGAGTATCTGCATAGAGGTAGCCTGACTATTGCTGCCTCTGTTTGTAGAGTGTTAGCTGGCCCTTAGCTCTGCATGTTGTGGTGCCAGAGCGCAGCCTGTTCAGCGCCTTCCAAGTCACCCAGTCTTCCATGTTCTCAGGAGGGAGTTCCTCATCTAGCCTCAGCCACTGATTGAAGGCCTGGCTTTTAGCCTGCCACTTTTGGATTCTCGCTTGCTGAGATGTTCCTGTAAGTGTCTCTGTTGATCTTAAGAAGATGTTTCTTGATTAAGCCATTGGCATGCTGGCTGATATCTGAACAGAGGATGGGCCGGAGATGTCAATGCGTTGGTCCTTTCATTACAGGCTGCTACTTCCCCACAGATGTCAGGTGGTGCAATACCAGCTCAACAGTATAATTTCTCCAGTGGTGTTGGGCGTAGACATCTTGTGATGATGCAGCATGTCGAATAAGAGCCACATCCACTGTTTTAACATGGTGAGATGTATTCCCCACTCGGCATGTGTATTCAGCAGCAGAGTAGCAAAGCGCAAGGGCAGATGCCTTCACTGTATCTGGTTGTGATCCCCAGGTTGTGTTGGTTAGCTTTCATACGATGTTATTTCTAGCACTCACTTGTTGCTTGATAGTCAAGCAGTGCTTCTTGTAAGTCAGAGCACACTCCAGGGTAAACTCCCAGGTATTTGGGTGTGCTGCAATGCTCCAGTTGGATTCCTTCCCAGATCATCCTCAAAACTCAATATGCTTGTCTGTTCTTAAGGTGAAAAGCACACATCTGCGTTTTAGATGAATTAGGAATCTGCTGGTTTTCCCTCTAATTGGCAGTAAGAGCACCTAAAGCTTTGGAGAGCTTCTGTTCAACCATTGGTTGAGTGGTGATGGCAAGATCCTCAGCGTAGATGAAACTCTGTGTCCTTTCTGTCAGTGGCTGGTCAATTGGGTAACTGTTAAAAATTGATGGAGCAATGTTCCCTTGAGGCAAGCCCTTCTTCTGTTTCCGCCATCTGCTTCTCTGACCCTGGAACTCAACAAAAAAGCTCCTGTTTTGTAGCAGATTTCCTATAAAGCGGGTGAGGTGGTTGTCCTCTCAGTTGTTATAATTTTTTCTCAAGAGAAAGCGATGGTTAAGCTGCTGACAGGTCTATGAAGAGGCAGGTTCAGCACTTGTGATGTGCAGCTTTTGCCTTTCCTGAAACCAGCTTGCTGTGGAATCTGACATGAGTCAAATTTTCCCTAATTCTATGCAAAATAAGTCTCTCCAGGGTGGGGAAAATAAGTCTCTCCTATAGGGTGGGGAAAAGGGACATCAATATTTGGTATTTGTTGTTGACGTTCCAACCTGTTTCTGGCAGGTTTGTCACTTTATACCCAGGAGACGTCTTCCTCACTGGGACTCCGCCCGGGGTTGGGGTCTTCCGGAAACCCCCCGTCTTCCTCAAGGTGAGCCTCATTCCCAGATGAACGTTCCCCCAAATTTCATTGTTGACACAAAGTGGCCCAACCAAGGATGAAACCAATACAAGCCGTCCCTGAGTTACAAACATCTAACTTTCAAATGACTCACAGTCTAGAACGGGGCTGGACTGGATGGCCTTTGGGGGTCTTTTCAAAATCTATGATACTATATCTATCTCACTTCCTGTGGACTCAGCTTTGTTCTTAACTAGGAGTTGTTTGCAAGTTGGATGTTTGTAACTTGAAGATGACCTGTACATATATATGTGTGTGCATGTAGGCATGTGTATACACACATATATATTAGATATAGTATCGTAGATTTGGAAGGGACCACCAAAGGCCATCCAGTCATTTGTACATCAGATATGTGTGTGTGTGTGTATAGATTTGGAAGCAACCCCCAAAGGCCATCCAGTCCAGCCCCGTTCTTAACTAGTGTAAACGGGATGTTTGTAATTCTGGGACTGCATGTATTTATGTATCTCTATTTCTCTCTATATACAAGATAAATATAGATTTGGAAGGGACCCCCAAAGGCCATACAGTTTAGCCCCGTCCTAACTAGGAGCCATTTGAAAGTGGGATGTTTGTAATTCTGGGACTGCATGTATATATGTATCTCTATTTATCTCTATATACAAGATAGATATAGATTTGGAAGGGACCCCCAAAGGCCATACAGTCTAGCCCCGTCCTAACTAGGAGCCATTTGAAAGTGGGATGTTTGTAATTCAGCGATTGCATGTATATCTCTCTCTATTTATATCTCTATATACGAGATAATCATAGATTTGGAAGGGACTCCCAAAGGTCATCCTGTCCAGCCCCATCCTAACTAGGAGTTATTTTAAAGTGGGATGTTTGTAATTCGGGGATTGCATGTATATATCTGTCTCTCTATATCCCTATATATGATATATATGATATATATGATATATATATATATATAGATGAGCCCCTGGTGACACAGTGGGTTAAACCACTGAGCTGCTGAACTTGTTGACCGAATGGTCGCTGGTTCAAATCCAGGGGCTGGGGTGAGATCCCACTATTAGCCCCAGCTTCTGCCAACCTAGCAGTTCAAAAACATGCAAATGTGAGTAGATCAATACCCTCCAGCAGGAAGGTAACAGCGCTCCATGCAGTCATGCCAGTCACATGACCTTGGAGGGTGTCTACGGACAATGCCGGCTCTTCGGCTTGGAAATGGAGATGAGCACCACACTAGCCCCATCCTAACTAGGAGTCATTTGAAAATGGGGTGTTCATAACTCAGGGACAGCTTGCATATGTTTTTCAGATGGGAAAAGGTTATCCCAAAAAGTGTCCCACAAAGACTCCACTTTGGGTTCCAGTGCTTTAGCCAGTCCAAATGTAGATTTCGGAAGCTAAGTTTGATATTTTCTGGGATTCATCGTAATCAGTTTACTGGAGTAACTGGTTGGGTTTAATGCCTTCCTTCTAGGCTTTTAAGCATTTTTGGCACATTTGTGGTGACGATTTTGGAGTGAGACATTCTATGAATCTAAAAGACCGATTGCTATTCCACTAGGCAACCAAAATTTGAAAAAAAATGTTGTGTTCCTGGTACGAAGGTGTCATTTCCTGTTTAATTGTGCAGTCCTTACTTCTAAAGTAGTTGTTACACTCCAGGAACTTTGTTTACGTGGCATGAACTATGTAGAATTGGTTGAGACATGATGAGAGAGTCATTGAGAAACGATTGCCATGTGTATATCACGATGTCCCTTCCGCAAAGACAAAGTTTGGGCAGTTTAATAAATTTTTCCCAATGTTTTCAGGATAGAACCAATTGGGAAATGACACTGATAACATAGGAACAAAACCCAAAGTGTTACAAAAGTGTTCTCCTTTGCAGAAAGGGGACGAAGTGGAGTGCGAAATCGATGAACTGGGAACCATCCGAAACAAAGTGGTGTGAAGCCTGGGTGCCTTCGCTGAATCCCATCACTGATTAAAACAAGATTTAGATTGATATTGTGACTTTGGGCATTCCTCCTTAGCAAGAAACTACTGGTAGGTTCCTGCACGGTTCAATGGGAAAAAAGTAAACAAAGACCCCAAAGATGCATCTTTTATAGATTGCGTATCATCTGTGCCTTTGGATAAACATTAATGGGGTCATCACTCCAGGAAAGTACTTCCACCCAGATTGTTAAATCAGAATAAAATGAGCTATTAAAACCACACTGAAATCAAACCAATGTGTCTTAGCCATTGTTTCCAAAAAGGTCATATTCAAATCAGGGTTCTAGACCAAAATCTGGGCAACAATGGACACTTTCAGGATTCCTTAAACAGCTTCATACATTTAGAAATGCACATTTGAATATAACACTTTGAAGGTTCTTGGTCAAAAAGCATTGAAAATCTTCACATATGTAAATTCTTGCTAGAAATAATTTGGAACAACTGAGCTGTAAAGAAATGGGTAGCTCTGGTTGCTCCCAATGATTGGCATATACATGTTGGATTTTGAAATATTAATGAACATATTAGAATCATTGAGTTAGAAGAGATATCGTGGGCCATCCACTCCAACTCCCTTCTGTCATAAAGCAGGAAAATCGCATTCAAAGCACCCCCAACAGATGGCCATCCAGCCTCTGTTTCAAAGCCTCCAAAGAAGGAGCTTCCACCCCACTCCGGAGCAGAGAGAGAGTTCCACTGCTGAACAGCCCTCCTTACAGTGAGGAAGTTCTTCCTCATGTTCAGGTGAAATCTCCTTCCTTTCCTGTAGTTTGAAGCCATTGTTCCATTGTGTCCAAGTCTCCAGGGCAGCAGAAAACACTCCCTATGACTTCCCCTCACATCTTGATCCATAGCCCACACCATGTCTCCTCTCAGCCTTCTCTTCCTCAGGCTAAACATGCCCAACTCTTGGAGCCGCTCCTCATAGGGCTTGTTCTCATGACCCTTGATCCTTTGAGTCACCCTCTTCCTCTGGACACATTCCAGCTTAGAGTCAACATCTCCCTTCAATTGCAGTCTCAGATATTGGACACAGTGTGATTCCAGGTAACGTGGTCTGACCAAGGCAGAATAGAACATGGATAGTATGACTTCCCTGGATCTAGGCACTAGGCTCCTCTTGATGCAGGCCAAAATCCCGTTGGCTTTTTTTGCCGCTACATGATATTCCTGGCTCATGTTCATCCCCACGAGAACTCCAAGATCTTTTCCACATGTCCTGTTCTTGAGCCAGGCATCGTCCCTCATTCTGTCTCTTTGCATTTCAATGTTTTCTGCCTAAGTGGAGTCTCTTGCATTTGTCCCTGTTGATCTTCACTGTGTTGGTTTTGGTCAATCATCTCTCTAATTTGTAAAGATCATTTTGAATTCTGCTCCTGTCTTCTGTGGTATTAGCTATCCTTCCCAATTTGGTCCTGTCTGCAAACTTGATGATCCTGCCTTCTAACCCTTCATCTACCTGATTCATAAAGATGTTGAGCAGAAATGGACCCAGGACGGAACCCTGCTGATGGCAAAACACCAGTAGAATTGATCTCATAAAGCTAACTATTAAGAAATCGTATATTAAACATTACTGATTTTATTGTATTAATCAATATAATCTTAGCAACAAAAGGTCTTTAGGTGAAACATAATAAACACAGCAAAACAAAGAGTTCTTCAAAGAAGAAACTTTTATTTATAACTATTCAATGCTCCTGGTATGTAATTAACTCAAAACCCAACTAAGGTTCTCTTGAAGTTCTCTTAAAACTCAACTAAGGTTCTCTTGAAGTCTCTCAAAACTCAATTAAGGTGCTCTTGAAGTTCTCTCAAAACTCAACTAAGGTTCTCTTGAAGTTCTCACAAAACTCAAGTAAGGTTCTCTTGAAGTTCTCTCAAAACTCAATTAAGGTTCTCTTGAAGTTCTCTTAAAACTCAACTAAGGTTCTCTTGAATTTCTCTCTAAACTCAACTAAGGTTCTCTTGAAGTTCTCTTAAAACTCAACTAAGGTTCTCTTGAAGTCTCTCAAAACTCAATTAAGGTTCTCTTGAAGTTCTCTTAAAACTCAACTAAGGTTCTCTTGAAGTCTCTCAAAACTCAACTAAGGTTCTCTTGACGTTCTCTTAAAACTCAACTAAGGTTCTCTTGACGTTCTCTTAAAACTCAACTAAGGTTCTCTTGAAGTTCTCTTAAAACTCAAATAAAGTTCTCCTGAAGTTCTCTTAAAACTCAACTAAAGTTCTCTTGAAGTTTTCACAAACTCAACTAAAGGTTCTCTTACTTTTAGGTGGGGAAAAATATTTCCAACTGTCAACTATTAACAAAACTAGGAAAGTGGTAGAAATTATCACATTCCATTGTTCCATTTAGGAGCTTAGTTGTAGATGAATTGGTGGATGAACTTCTCCAGTTTCTCTTGGTTCTCTTTGAAAGCAAAGGTTTCAGAGAGGAGCAGAACAGTCCCGCCTTGCCCTGGGACCTCCCTCAACACCTGGATAAGGAAGGAAACAGAAAAGGGGCAGAAATTGATTGTAAATAGCAGAATGTTTATGTATCTAGATCAGGCCTGGGCCAACTTGGGCCCTCCAGGTGTTTTGGACTTCAATTTCCACAATTCCAGCTGTTAGGAATTGTGGAAGTCCAAAACACCTGGAGGGCCCAAGTTAGTCCAGGCCTGATCTAAATGGATCTGCACCAAACTTGCTACAGAGACCCTTTGTGACCCAACTTGAAAGAATGAGTTTGAAGTGCAAAAGAACACCACTTTTGTATGTTGCCATATTTCTAAAATGGCCTACATCACGGACCCATGGAAGGAAGGAAAAACAAGGTAAGAGGGAAGGAAAGAAAGAATGATATAGGAAGGAAATAAAGATAAAGGAAAGAGGAAGGGAGAAAGGAAAGAAGGACAAAGGAAGGAAAGAGGAAAGGAGGAAAGAAGCACAAAGGAAGCAAAGAAAGAAAAAGGAAAGAGGAAGGAAGTGAAGAAAACAAGGAAAGAGGAAGGGAAGAAGGACAAAGGAAATGAAGGAATAATAATGGAAGAGGGAGGAGGGAAAGAAGAACAAAAGAAGCAAAAGGGGAGAGATTGTTGGGCGAGTGGGCTTGTTAACAAAAGACCCTCTTTATAAATGCACAGCTTTTCCCTGTAGTAAAATAATATGGTTGCACTATTTACTAGAACAAGATTTCCACTACACAAATAAAAGTTCTTTATACTTCTTTGTTTCCACGCTGGGCTTCTTTCTTATGCAGATAAACAGCTTTGCTTTCACAGAGCCTCCTCTCACAACAAAATTACACAGGAGCTTCACATAGTAGCTTTACACACAGCTTTACACAGGAGGCCTTTAACCTGGGGCTTCTTACGCCAAAGCTTCTCACACCAGGCCTTCTCATACTCGGCCTTCGTATAGATGAAGGCCTACCTCACAGGCCTACTAACAATGAGGCCTATTCTCCCACTGAAGCGATCTCTCACACAGAGAGGCTTCTCTCACACTGAGGCTTACCTCACACACTTCAGGACGATACTAGCTTTGGTCCACTGACTCGTAACAGGCTTCGGCCTACTCACTCTCCTCAGGACAACACTAGCTTTAGTCCAATGACTCCTAGCAGGCTTCGGCCTACTCACTCTCTTCAGGACAACACTAGCTTTGGTTCAATGACTCCTAGCAGGCTTCGGCCTACTCACTCTCTTCAGGACAACACTAGCTTTGGTCCAATGACTCCTAACAGGCTTCGGCCTACTCACTCTCTTCAGGACAGCACTAGCTTTGGTCCACTCACTCTTACAGGCTTCGGCCTACTCACTCTCCTTGGGACGACACTAGCTTTGGTCCACTGACTCCTAACAGGCTTCGGCCTAATCACTCTCCTTGGGACGACACTAGCTTTGGTCCACTGACTCTAATAGGCTTCGACCTTCTCGCTCTTTCAGTGCTTGACTCACACTTTTGTAATTAAAAATGTCTAGTTAATTTTTAATATTTCTGACAGATGACAAAGGAAGAAGAGAGAGGAAAGAAAGGAAGGACAAAGCAAATAAAGGAAAAAGGGAAGGGGGGGGGGTAAGAAAAGAAAGACAAAGGAAGCAAAAAAGAAAAAGGAAAGCAGGTGAGAGGAAAGAAAGAAGGACAAGAAACTGAGAAAGAAAGGAGGGAGGAAAGAAGGACAAAAGAAGCAAAGAAAGTAGAAGTGGAGGGGGAGAGAAAACTAAGGAAGAAAAGAAAGAAGGAAAAAGGAAGGACAAAGGAAACGAAGGAAAAAGGGAAGAGCGAGGAAGGGAAGGGAAGAAGGACAAAGGAAGTAAAGAAATTAAAAGGAAAGCAGAGAGGAAGGAAGGAAAGAAGGACAAGGAACCAAAGAAAGAGGAAAGAAGGACAACAGAAGTGAAGAAAAAACGAGAGAAGGAGGGAGGAAAGAAGGATAAAAGAAGCAAAAGAAGAAAGAGGAAGGAAACAAAGAAGAAAGGAAAGGGGCGGAGGGAGGAAAGAAGGACAAAAAAAGGAAGGAAAGAAGGACAAAGTAGTAAGCAAAGAAAAAGGGGAGAGAGGAAAGAAGGAGAAAGGAAGCAAAGAGAGAAAGAGGGAGAGAGGAAGAAAGGAAATAAGGAGAAAGGAACCAAAGGAAGAAAAAGGAAAGAGGGAGAGAGGAAGGGATGAAGGATGGATGGAAGGAAGGGAGGGAGGGAGGACAAAGGAAGCAAAGAAAGAAGAGAGGAAAGAGGGAGAGAGGAAGAAAGGATATGGAACTGAAGAAAGAAAGGTGGAGGGAGGAAAGAAGGACAACGGAAGTGAAGAAAAAAACAAGGGGAGAGGGAGGAAAGAAGAAAAGAAGCAAAGGAAGAAAGAAGAAGGACGGAAAGAAGGAAATGTAAGGGGGAAAAGGGAAGCGAGGGAGGGAAGGAGGGAGGGAAGAAAGACAAAATGAAAGAAAGGAAAGAAGGTGAAGTAAGTGAAGAAAAAGAAAAGAGGAAAGAAGGACAAAGGAAGCAAAGAAAAAAAACGAGGGGCAAGGAAGGGGAAGACGAAGGTAGGGAAGAAAAGAAAACAAGGGAAGGAGGGAGGGAGCTAAGAAGGAAGGAGATGGCAGAAGAAGGAGGAGAAATGCAATGAACTCACCCCCAGTTCTTTATAGATTTTGACAGAGACACCTGCCAGGGTCCAATCGGCACATTCTGGAAAACAAGCAAAAGAGGTAGTGAGAACTGTCTCCTGACACACCACTGCGGAAGTACATCTACACTGCAGAATTAATGCAGTTTGAGACCACTTTAATTGCTACAGGTCAATGCGATGAGATCCTGGGAGTTGCAGTTTGCCACTCTTTGTCAGAGAAGGCTCAAGACCTGGAAAGGGGGGGGGGACTAGTATAGTCTTGAGCTATGGCAGTTAAAGTGGTGTCAAACTGCATCAATTTCACAGTGTAGATGCACCCAGAACACTCCCTGGACCTGCAATGGACTCACCAAAAGAATGGTCTTCTTCTGCCTTCTTCACTAAGAATTGATACAGATTGTCCAGGCATTGCTTCTCTGGATTAGAAAAAAAAATGAAAAAGAAAGGAGTGCGGAAATGATTAGTGAAGGAGAATAACCAACCCGCTTGCATTGAATACAATAATAGCAGAAACGGAATCAGGGAGCTATTGGTTATTACAGGCTGAGTATCCCTTACCATGGATCCCCTAGAATCCCATAGCCATGGGAATGCAAGTGGCGTCAAACTGGGTTAATTCTGGGTTAATTAAAACTTGTGCGCCAGTTGCGCCCGTACCTTGGGAAGTCAGATCTGGCCACAGTGGTCCATGCTCTTGTTACATCCCGAATAAATTACTGCAACACACTCTATGTGGGGTTGCCTTTGAAGACTGTTCGGAAACTTCAATTAGTCCAGCGGGCGGCAGCCAGATTACTCACCGGAGCGTCATACAGGGAGCATACCACCTTTCTGTTATGTCAGCTCCACTGGCTGCCGATCCAGTTCCGAGCACAATTCAAAGTGCTGGTTTTGACCTACAAAACCCTATACGGTTCCGGCCCAGCATATCTGCCCAAACGCATCTCCCTCTACGTCCCGCCTTGGAATTTAAGATCTTCTGGGGAGGCCCTGCTCTCAGCCACACATCTATCACAAGTGAGATTGGTGGGGACGAGGAACAGGGCCTTCTCGGTGGTGGCCCCTCACCTGTGGAATTCACTCCCGGGGAAATTAGGTCATCGTCATCCCTCCTCTCTTTCAGAAGGAAACTAAAAACATGGATATGGGACCAGGCCTTTGGGTAATTTGGCAGATAGACAAAGGACAATGACGACTAGAATTGATAGGATTTGACAATGTGGAATGAATTTACGGATTCTGAGCTGGCGAACGTTGAGCATTAGACTGGTTTTATGGATTGTGATGTATAATTGATTGTTTTAATTGTTTTATAATTGCTGTTGATATATGTTTTTATCTTATTGTTTGTGTTGGCATTGAATTGTGCCTTTTGTAAGCCGCCCTGAGTCCCCCCTCGGGGGTTGAGAAGGACGGGGTAGAAATATGCAAAATAAATAAATAAATAAATTCTGCAGCACTTGATGGCTACCAAGGGTTTACCTGGCTGGGGATCCTTGACCTCCCACAAAAAGGCAGCAGCTCTTTGCAGGGTCTTCAGGACCGGACTCAGGAGGCTGCAGAGAAACTCGAAAAGGGCACAGCTGCTGTCCACTTGGCTGACCTGAAGCAGAGAAGGGGATAAAGAAGGGTCAAGGCTGCACTGAGTCCCACTATTGGGAGGAAGGCAGACTATACAGCCAGCCCTTCTGAGATTATATATATCTTGGGTATCTGGTATTGCCTGGGTTATTTGAAAAAGCCATTTTCTAATTGTCCAAAATGCATAAGATTGTGGGTGAACTACAACTCCCATCATGCCAGGTTAACCCCGAGAAACTCCATCAGTACTTAAAGTTTGTTATGTTGAGCAGATTTGCTCTAGATGTGTCATCGGTGGGGTTCCGTGTGATCTATGGCTGAAGGGTAAACTACAACTCCCACTATGGTGAGTCAGTCCCCTCCAACCCCTCCCATAGGTCGAGTTAGTCATAGGGGTTCTGTGTGCCAGTTTGGTCCAAGGAAGGAAAAGGAAAGGAAAGCAGGAAGGAAACAATGGAGAGAAAAGATAAAATGAAAGGGAGGAAAGGAGGAAGGAAGAAAAGTACATGTGAAGTCTTGCTTCTGCCTTCCTCTCCTCTGCTTTAGTTCTCCCCTGTTTATAGGGTTTCCCAATAGTACCTTCCACTGTATTAGTTTTTGGGTGGAGCTTAAACACCCATCAGAGACCAGTCTTAGGTGGTCAATTCCTTTTCCCTGCACAGAGTTCTTTGCTGGACTCCTTCTTTTCTACAATAGAACTATACTGGATACTGTATGGAATCCTAGGCCTAACAATCCAAACAGGCATTCTTAGCACCTGATTCTGCTGTTGCTGCATTTAGCAATATTTTTATACCACCAGTCCAAAGGATAAAAGAAGTTTATAACCAGCCTAAGCTTCACAGGAAAGAAGATTAAGACAGTTCAACCATCACTTTGCACCAGAGTCAGGAAAGACCCCAGAAAGATGACTACAACCAGCAACATCTCCTTTTGTAATGTATTGTTTAAAGTTACCTTATGATAGTCCTGGGTGGAGTTAACCCTTTATTCATCTTGTTTGCAGTAAACTCATTTGGTTATCTTTTCACCTTGCCTCAAAGTGCCTGTCTCAATCTTAACAGAAGGTATCGGATAGCCCCCGAGTAAAGCCAGATAATATAGTTTTCCCAAAGGTTCGGGTGTGCCATCACAATACAGAAGGGAGGGAATGGAAAGGGGGATGAAAAGAAAGGGAACAGATGGGAGGGAAGGAAAGGAAGGAAACAAAGGAATGGAAGGAAAAAGAATGGGGTCAGAAAGGCAATGGAAGCAAGGGCAGGAAGAAAAATAAGGAATGGAAGAAAAAGGAAAGGAAAAGAAGGAAAGCAGACAAGCAAGCCAGGGAAACTTTTTACACATGTTGCACTGGAGGAGAAGAACTTCCTTGCATCCATGAGATGGCACTCTCTCTCCAAAAATGTGAGCACTGAAGAATGGAAGAGCCGCTTGCATGGCTGCTTCCCCCGCCTGCCTGCGGCTGGCATTTGAATGAACCCACCACCACCAGGGATGTGTCACTGGAGGCCGGGAAACAAAAGGAGCCGGAATTGATACAGCAATTGGATGTTCCCTTTTGAAAGAGCAAGGAGAGTGTCAGGGCTCCCTTCCCACGGGAAGCAAGCCAAAGGGGAGGGGGGCATCTACACAGAGAATTGATGCACTTCGGCACCACTTTGATGTAGCTCTACAAAAGCCTTTCTGGCCAATGAGGGTAGGCAGGCACCCCTCCAAACCGCAGAGCCCAGGATCCCATAGCCTTGAGCCCTGGTGCAAAACTGCCCCATGTAAGCTGTTCTGAGTCCCCATCGGGGAGATGGTGGCGGGGTATAAATAAAGTATATTTAATTGTTGTTGTTCTTGTTGTTGTTGTTACAGTGTAGACCAGGCATGGGCAAACTTTCTAATTTGAGGGTTGCATGCTAGCACTCCCTGCTAAGAGAACTGGCTGCCTAGTGATGAAAGGAAGGAAAGAAAAGAGGAAGGGAGGGAGGAGAGAAGGGAGCAAGGACGAAAGAGAGGAAGGGAAGGATGGAAGAAGAAAGGGAGAGGGGGAAGGAGGGAGCAAAGAGGGAAGGGATGAATGAAGGAGAAAGGAGAGAGGGAAGAAGGAAGAAAGGGAGAGAAGGAAGGATGAAAGGGTGGAAGGGAAGGGAAGGAGGAAGGAAAAAGAGAAGGAAGGATGGGAGGGAGGGAGAAAGAAGGATGGGGAGAGAGGGAAGAAAGAGTGAAGGAAGGAAGGAAGGAAGGAAAGAAAGAAGGAAGGAGAAAGAGGGAAGGAGGAAGGAAAGACAAAGGGAGGGAAGGACAAAAGGGTGGAAGGGAAGGCTAGAAGGAAGGAAGGAAAGGAGGAAGGAAAGAGAAGGAAGGAAGGACGAAAGGGAGGAAGGGAAGGATGAAACGAGAAAGATAATGGGAAGGAGGAAGAAAGGAGGGAGGGAAAGAAGGACGAAAGGGAAAAGGATGAAAAGGTGGAAGAGGAGGAGGAAGGGAAAAGAGAAAGAAGGATAGAAGGGAGGAAGAGAAGGATGTGGAGAAAAAGAGGGAGGAAAGAGGCAAGGAAGGAAGGATGAAAGGGAAGGATGGAAGGAGAAAGGGAGGGAGGTGAGGAAGAAAGACAAAAGGGAGGGAAGGACAAAAGGGTGGAAGGGAAGGATAAAAGGGAGGAAGGAGGAAGAAACGATGAAAGGGTGCAAGGGAATGGAGGGAGGGAGGAAAGAGGGAAGGAAAGACAGAAGGGAAGGAAGGAGAAAGAGGAGAAGGAAGGAAGGATGAAAGAGTGGAAGGGAATAAAGGAGGGAGAGAAAGAGGAAGGAAAGAGACAAGGACATCAGGCTAGGATGGTGAGAGAGAGGAGGGCCTGAGAAAAGAGCCCAAGGGGCCACATTCGGCCCCCGGGCCTGGGTTTGTCCATACCTGGGGTAGATGCACCCACCTAGCCCCTATGGTCAGAAACATAACATACAGTTGGCCTGGAGAACCCAGAAACTGTTTGGACACCTCTCGAGAAATTCTTAGGTCCTCCGATAAAACAATATGGTCAACTTCCAGAGGAAGCATAACATAGAGTTGCCTGGAAGACCGAGGATATTCCAAGCAAGGACTTCATTTTGTAAAATGCAAATAGGTAAAACCATGGATACTGAATTTAGAACAGTCTGCTAGAGTTTTGGGCAGGAGTCATTTAAGCAGAACTAGAAATCCCAGGGGTCAGCCGGATGGTATAAAAGGGAGCAAGCTGTTATAACATGTTGTCAAAGGCTTTCATGGCCAGAATCACCGTGTTTCTGTGAGTTTTTTGAGCTGCATGGCTATGTTCCAGTAGCATGACTTTTCACCTGCATCTATGGCTAATGGCCTCTTCAGAGGTTCTGTTGGCAGTGAAGCAAATGCCATTAGCCACAGATGCACATGAAACGTCTGGAGGGAATGCTACTGGACCATGGCCATACAGCCTGGAAAACTCACAGCAACCCAAGATGTGATAACGTTGAGGCTACCTTGAAGTAATGCTTCCTAGGCTCCTCCTCAAAGTCGCTGTCGCTGTCCCCAAAGTCCTCCGCCGGCTTCCAGAGCAGCTTCCGCTTCCGGGCCACATCGCATCGCAAGAGGTCGCTGGGCATCTGGACGCAGCAGAAAAAAGGAGACAATTTCATTCCCAAGGCCCTCTTGCTATGGACACTCTCCAGAATTAATGCATTTTAACTCTCAAGGTGCTGGAGACCTAGGAGTTGTAGTTTTGCAAGGTCTCGAGCCTTGCCTGCCTTGTGAATCTATAACTTCCAGGATTCCATAGCCTTGTGTTGCAATCACTGCTGTGCTGTATGCAAGCTGGTTGGTTTCTTCTATTGTTGTTATCTCAACAGTTGCAAATGCAGCATTCACATCATTCATTAGAGGTGCCGGAGCCCCCGGTGGTGCAGTGGGTTAAACCCCTGTGCTGGCAGGACTGAAGACCGACAGGTCACAGATTTGAATCCGGGAAGAGACGGATGAGCTCCCTCTATCAGCTCCAGCTCCTCATGCGGGGACGCGAGACAAGCCTCCCACAAGGATGATAAAACATCAAATCATCCGGGCATCCCCTGGGCAACGTCCTTGCAGACGGCCAATTATCTCACACCAGAAGCGACTTGCAGTTTCTCAGGTCGCTCCTGACACGACAAAAAAAAAAATTAGAGGTGCCATATGTTTTCTTGGTATTGTTTTCAATGTTGCAGTCTTTGTCTTCCTTCCTTCAATGCAGCTTCGTGGTCAATGTGCCAGGTGTAGTATACGCAATGGCCACAGGCTCTTCAAGCTTATTGTTTTGAAAAAATCCTGCGTTTTCTTCTGGCTCTATATGTTCAGTGGGCTCAGAAGTCATTAGATCTTCTGCAGCTGTCTCTACATTTGTTTGTTCTTCAGTTTCACAGTTGCTTCTTATTTCTTCAAGTTCATCTTCACTGAGCACCTTTTTCCTGGCGATGTATCACCTCTGGTCAGCAAGCCTCTGTTCAGTTACAGTTGAATCTGGATATTCAAGTTTCCATAGCTGGTACATCCATTTTTGGTATCCATGTCTTTGTGGTTCTGATCTATAATAGCAGTTCATGACAATTTGGGTCTGTAGCACTGAAAATTTCTGCTGCTTCTGTAGTTGTTTTGCTTCCAGTTGCCCTACAGGGCCATGTCCTGGTTGCTCAGCAGTGGGTCCTGGTTCCTGTAGCTCACTTGTTGACAGGTGCCCAGGAGAAGCAATCGCCGCGGTCTTGGGCAACGACCGAGCCAGTATAGACTTCTTTAGAGTTTGTTTCACCATATTTAAATGGGTTTAAAATTATTGTTATTAATATTACATATAATTATCATGATTACATGACATTATAATAATAATAATAATAATAATAATAATAATAATAATAATAATGTCATGGAGCCCCCAGTGGCGCAGTGGGTTAAACCCCTGTGCCGGCAGGACTAAAGACCGACAGGTCGCAGGTTCGAATCCAGGGAGAGGCGGATGAGCTCCCTCTATTAGCTCCAGCTCCCCCTGTGGGAACATGAGAGAAGCCTCCCACAAGGATGATAAAAACATCAAAATCATCCTGGCGTCCCCTGGGCAACGTCCTTGCAGACGGCCAATTCTCTCACACCAGAAGTGACTTGCAGTTTCTCACATTGCTCCTGACACAACAAAAAAAAATTATTATCATAATCACAATGCTGCAAGTCATTCCAGGGCCAGAGAAGCAGATGGCGAAGACAGACAAACAGCCTGCCTCAGGGGAGCATGCTCATTCCATCAATGTTTAACATTTACACAAGTGACCAGCCATTGCCAGAAGGGACAGAGAGTTTCATCTATGCAGACAATTGTGCCATCACCACCCAAGCAGGAAGCTTTGAAATGGTTGAAGAGAAGCTCTCTAAAGCTTTTGGTGCTCTTACTGCCTATTACAGAGAAAACCAGCCGATTCCCAGTCCATCTAAAACACAGACGTGTACTTTTCACTTTAAGAACATACAAACATCTCGAGCTCTGACAATGACCTGGGAAGGATTCCCACTGGAGAATTGCAGCACATCCAAATACCTGGGAGTCACTCTGGAATGTGCTCTGACTTACAAGAAGCACTGTTTGATTATCAGGCTGGATGGGCATCTGTCAGGATAGATCAAATGGTCCACTACTTGGACCAACGGGCCATTGATCTAATATCCCTCCCCCCCCCCCGCTCTCTATACACACACACACACACACACACACACACGTGTATCTATGTCATTTTATATCACATCATATCACAGAAACAATACTGCATGAAAGCTGATTGGCACAACCTGGGGATCACAACCAGACACAGTGAAGACATCTGCCCTTATGCTTGGCTACTCTGCTGCTGAGTACACATGCCCAGTGTGGAATACATCTCACCACGTTAAAACAGTGGACATGGCTCTTAATGAGACATTCCACATTGTCATAGAATGCCTATGCCCTACACTGCTGGAGAAATTACACTGTATATAAGTTCCCCTTAAGTTCAAATAGGATAATATTCTGATTTCCAAAGGAAGGACTTACCTCCTCCGCGACTATCAACCCAGATTGAGTCAGCTTGTCTATTGCAACTTGGCAATAGGAATCCAGAGACTGGCAGGGCTGGGAGAAAGCAGAGAAAACAGTCACCAAACTAAGGAAAAGGCTTTGTCATTTATACCACTTACTTCCTTCCTCGCAGATAAATGGACTGGATGCCCTTCCAACTCTATAGTAGAATACAGACTACCTAGGAATCCAGTGGAGTCCTTCCTTCTATAGAGGTTTTTAAGCAAAGGCTGGATGGGCCTCTGTCATGAGGGATCGAATGGTGCCGGACTTGGACCGGAGGGCCATTGATCTAATATCTCTCTCCCCCTAACCAGCTGTTAGGAATTGTGGGAGTTGAAGTCCAAAGCACCTGGAGGGCCAAAGTTTGCCCATGCCTGGCTTAGATGGTGAATTTCTTCCCTGGCAGAAGGGGAATGGACTGGATGGCCTTCCCACTCTGTAGAATCCTAGAGTGGGTCTCTTCCCACTCTAGGATTCTACAATTTTATCATTATTATTAATCAGAGGCTGGATGGCCGTCCCATCAGGAGGGCCTGGATGGTGCCTTTCCTGCTTGGCTGAAGGGGGTTGGACTAGATGACCTTTGGGGTTCCCTTTGGCTCCAAGAATGTCACAGGTGGTCTCTGTTACCTGGCAGAGGAGGAGCCCCCCCTGCAGCAGCTGGACCAGGGAGAGTGCTTTTGCCTGTAGCTCCTCCTGGACCAGGACCGCGTCCCGAAGCTGCTCTGGGCTCCCAAGGAAAGGCAGCAGCTCCAACAGCAGAGCGTTCACCGCACAGGCTGCAAAAGGGCCACAAACAGACCAGACGTTTACGCAACTACAATATGCAGTACAATACCAACAGGACAGACAGCGATATAGCCCATCCCACCTACCCATAATCAACACAGTATGTCCCCTGTAAGGATTACATCATGTAATACGAGTTTCATTCCTGGGTTATCAATGTCATTTCCTAAGTGGTTCTAGTATGAAAATATGGAAAAGGTTTATTGAACTGCAAAAAGGGACACCCTGCAGAACATTTTGCTCTAGTTTTTCAATAATAATAATAATAATAATTTATTTTAACCCACCCTCCCTCCCACAAAGGCACTTTGAAATTGTTGAACAGAATCTCCCCAAAGTTTTATAGGATTCTATAATTCTAGTATTATTATTTTATTAAGCAGAGGCTGGATGTCCATCAGTTGGGAGGGCTTTGATAGTATTTTTCTGCTTGGCAGAAGGTATGTGGTCTGTATGGGCTTTGGGGGCCCCTTCAGACTCTAGGGTTCTACAGTTTTCTATTATTATTATTATTATTATTATTATTATTATTATTATTATTATTATTATTAGTTAGAGGCTGGATGGCATCTGCTTGAAGTATTTGGATGGTGCTTTCCTGTCTGGCAGAACAGGGATGGACTGGATGGCCTTTGGCAGTCCCTTCAGACTCTAAGGTTCTGTGGTATTGTTGCTATTATTGCTGCTGTTGTTGTTAAACAGAGGCTGAATGTCCATCTGCTGGGAGGGCTTGAACAGTGTCTGCCTGCCTGGCAGAAGGGGGATGGACTGGGTGACCTTTGGGGGCCCCTTCCGACTGTAGGATTCCTAGATTGAGAGGCTGAATGGCAATTTGCTGGAAGTGCTTTGATAGTGTCTTCCTGCCTGGCAAAAGGGGGTTGGACTGGATGGCCTTTGGGGGTCCCTTCCGATTTTAGAGTGATTCTATGATTGGAGGTCCATCTGCCAGGAGGGCTTGGATGGTGACTTCCTGCCTGGCACAAGGGGGATGGACTGAATCCTTTGGGTCCCCCTCGGGACTCACCTGCGGCTGCTTCCTGGGCAAAGAGGGACAGGAGGGTAGTGCTGTGGCGGCTGAGCTCCTTCTGGGCGGCTGGGGTCTTCTTGGGGGCCACCAGGGCATCACGGCCGGAGAGGAGGTAGAAGGTGGTGCAGGGGCGCAGTAGGTGCAGGGCATGGCACACCACGTGGCGCACCTGGCCAGAGAAGCCCAGGTCCCCTTGGCGCAGCAGGATCTCCTCCGTCAGGCAGGCAAAGTCACGCATCAGCCGAGAGAGCAAGACACCCTGGAAGCCATACGGAAGGCATCATGAAACATCAACATCCTTCTATTATTTACTAACTCAGGTACCTGGTGTTGCCCAGGGTATTTGAAAAAGTCAATTTGTAAATTGTACAAAATGCATAAGGTTGTGGGTGAACAACAACTCACATCATGCTAGGTTGACCCCTATATTGGATAAGTTTGCTCTAGATCAGTGGCTCTTAACCTGTGGGTCCCCAGATGTTTTGACCTTCAACTCCCAGAAATCCTAACAGCTGGTAAAGTGACTGGGATTTCTGGGACTTGTAGGCCCAAACACCTGGGGAGACACAGGTTGAAAACCACTGCTCTAGATGCATCATCAATGGAGTTCAGTGTTCTCTCTGGTTGTAGGGTAAACTACAGCTCCCACTATAGGGAGTCAGTTTCCTCCAACTCCTCCAGTAGGATGAGCTAGTCATGAGGGTTCTGTGTACCAAGTTTGGTCCAGGTCCATCATCGGTGGAGGTCACCATTTCCCTGGTTTTAGGTGAACTACAATACCCAGAAAGGAAGGTTACAGAATCATAGAATCATAGAGTTGGAAGAGACCTTGTGGGCCATCCAGGCCAACCCTGTCAAGAAGCAGGAAAATTGCATTCAAAGCACTCCTGGCAGATAGCCATCCAGCCTCTGTTTAAAAGCCTCCAAAGGTAGAGCTTCCACCAGACTCTGGGGCAGAGAGTTCCACTGCTGAACAGCTCTCACAGTCAGGAAGTTCTTCTTAATGTTCAGATGGAATCTCCTTTCTTGTATCTTGAAGCCATTGTTCCATTGCATCCTAGTCTCCAGGGAAGCAGAAAACAAACTTGCTCCCTCCTCCCTATGACTTCCCCTCACATATTTATACATGGTCATTGTGTCTCCTCTCAGCCTTCTCTTCTTCAGGCTAAACATGTCCAGCTCTTTAAGCCACTCCTCATAGGGCTTGTTCTCCAGACCCTTGATCATTTTAGTCGCCCTCCTTTGGAAACATTCCAGCTTGTCAACATCTCCTTTCAAGTGTGGTCCCCAGAATTGGACACAGTATTCCAGGTGTGGTCTAACCAAGGCAGAATAGAGGGGTAGCATGACTTCCCTAGATCTAGACACTAGACTCCTATTGATGCAGGCCAAAGTCCCATTGGCTTTTTTGCCACCGCATCACATTCCTGGCTCCTGTTCCCCTTCCTCCCCACGAGGACTCCAAGATATTTTTCACACGTACTGCTCTCGAGCCATGCGTCCCCCATTCTGTATCTTTGCATTTCTTTTTTTCTGCCAAAGTGGAGTATCTTGCATTTGTCACTGTTGAACTTCATTTTGTTAGTTCTGGCCTATCATCTCTCTCTCATCTGTGAATACTGTTTGGAATTCTGCTCCTGTCTTCTGGAGTATTGGTTCTCCCTCCCATTTTGGTGTCATCTGCAAACTTGATGATCATGCCTTCTAAGCTTTCATCTAAGTCATTTAAAGATGTTGAACAGGACCGGTCCCAGGACGGAACCCTCCTGATGGCACTCCGCTTGTCACTTCTTTCCAGGATGAAGACGAAGCATTGGGGAGAAACACCCTCTGGGTTCGTCCGCTTAACCAATTACAGATCCACTTCACTGTAGTTTTGTCTAGCCCACATTGGAATAGTTTGTTTGCCAAAAGGTCATGGGGGACCTTGTCGAAGGAAGGCCTTAATGGAATCCAGATACGCTACATCCACGGCATTCCCTGCATCTACCCAGCTTGTAACTCTATCGAAAAAAAGAGATCAGATTATTCTGGCATGACTTGTTTTTGATAAATCCGTGTTGACTATTAGCGATGACCGCATTTGTTTCTGTTTGCAGACCACTTCCTAAGCAATCTTTTCCAGAATCTTGCCTGGTATCGACGTGAGGCTGAACGGACGTTGGTCATTGTTTGGGTCGTTCTTTTTTCCCTTCTTGAAGATAGAGAGGGACCACATTGGTCCTCGTCCAATCTGCTGGGACTTCTCCCATTCTCCAAGAACTCTGAAAGATGATTGCCAATGGTTCCAAGATGACTTCCACTAGTTCATTCAATACTCTTGGGTGTAGTTGATCTGGCCCCAGAGACGTAAACTTGTTTAGAGTGTCCAGGTATTCCTGGATTACTTGTTTTCTTATTTGGGGTTGGATGTCCTCTAATCCCTCATCCACTCCATCTTGCTGAAGTTGAAGATGACTTTCTTTTTGTGAGAAGACTGAGGCAAAGAAAGCATTAAAGAACTGTCTTTTCCCTGTCCCCTGTCAGCATTGCCCCATCTTCTCCTCAAAGCCCTATTGCTTCCTTGTTCTATTGTTTTCTACTGACATAAGCAAATAAGCCCTCTTTATTGTTTTTAATGTCCCTGGCAAGCCTGAGCTCATTTTGTGCTTTAGCCTTGTGAACCTTTTCCCTACAGGAGTTGGCTATTTATTTGAATTCTTCTTTGGTGGTTTCTCCTTTTTTCCACTTCTTGTGCATGTCTCTTTTGTGCAGGTCAGTTCCTTCCAAACCGTCCCCTCCAGTTATCAAATTTCAACATATCAAGTATGTGTGCCAGGTTTGGTCCAGATCCATAGGTGTTTGGGTTCACAGTGCTCTCTGGATGTAGGTGAACTACAGCTCCCCCAAATCAAGGAAGATCTCTGTTTGTGGGCTCTGTATGCCAAGTGTGATCCCGGTCCATTATCAGTGGGGCTCATAGTATCGCTGGATGCAGATGAACTACAACTCACAAAATCAAGATTAATTCCCACAAACCCCTGCAGTATGTTCATTCCTGTTCACTGTGTGCTATAGGAATGGGTAGGAAAGGGTTAAGTGAGAGGCAGTGGGCAGGGTCATGCAAATTTGGAGAGAGAAAGGAACCCTGGGGTGTCCATTCTGGAGGAAAAACAGAACATCTAGGATGAAATTGTCCCCGAATGAAAGGATTCACTTGGTTGGTGGGGCAGGATGGTGTTTGGACAGTGACAGAGGTTAGGAGATATGTTCATGGCGCCCACTGTAACCTGCCATGTCCTTGGAGGGAGGGCTTTGGGTGGCTCCCCAAAACTGTGGATTAAAGCTGTTTGTGGAGGCGAGAGGCTGTTTGTATAAGTTGACACCTCCGCCACATACACATTTTAACTTATTTCTTATTATCTATACACATATAATCCATATAATCACCTGCAACATTACCAAGCTTACCTGTAATAAGGATAATCAATGATAATGAATCAAACTGAAATGAACAACTGCCATCAGAATCAAACTTCACTTTGGAAAGTCCTAGAGACAATCTCAAATCCACTCATAACAAAATCAAACTCATTTACCTCTTGGTGTTTGTGAAACAGAAGGGCGGCCATGACCTCCACCGCCATAATGGCAGAACAAGAGAGACCGGCTAAAGAGAAGAAGATGAGAAAAGGCAGCATTAATTGCATGCAAGTAGGATTCCCATAGAAGAAAAATTCCCAAATTGTGAAATTATTGCAGGCTGAGCAATTTGTCAAAGCTTCATCTATGCTGACGATTGTGCCCTCACCACCCAAGCAGGGAGCTTTGAAATGGTTGAACAGAAGCTCTCCGAAGCTTGAGGTGCTCTTATTGCCAATTACAGGGAAAACTAGCTTATTCCTAATGATCTAAAAGAGAACAGACAAGCATCTCGAGCTCTAAGGATGACCTGGGAAGGAATCCCATTGCAGAACACCAAAATACCTGGGAGTCACCCTGGACTATGCTTTGACTCATGAAATGCACTGAATGAATATTAAGCAAAAAGTGGGCGCTAGAAACAATATTGTGAGAAAGCTTACTGGCACAACCTGGGGATCACAACCAGATACAGTGAAACATCTGCCCTTGCACTTTGCTGGTTTGCTGCTGAGTATGCATGCCCAGTGCGGAATACATTCCATCAGCACTGCCTCCAAAAAATCCTGCAAATCTCTTGGGAAGACAAGCATAGAAATGTCAGCGTGTTGGAAGAAGCAAAGACCACCAGCATTAAAGCTATGGTCTTCCGCAATCAACTCCGCTGGACCGGCCACGTTGTCCGGATGCCCGACCACCGTCTTCCAAAGCAGTTGCTCTTCTCCAAACTCAAGAACGTAAAACGGAATGTTGGAGGACAGGAAAAGAGATTTAAAGATGGGCTCAAAGCCAACCTTGGCATAGACACTGAGAACTGGGAAGCCCTGGCCCTTGAGCACTCCAGCTGGAGGTCAGCTGTGACCAACAGTGCTGTAGAATTTGAGGAGGCACAAATGGAGGGCGAAAGAGAGAAACATGCCAAGAGGAAGGCGCATCAAGCCAATCCCGACCGGGACCGCCTTCCACCTGGAAACCAATGCCCTCACTGCGGAAGAACATGCAGATCAAGAATAATGCTCCACAGTCTCCTACGTACCCACCGCCAGTACACCGATCTTGAAAGACAATCCTATTCGGACAATGAGGGATCGCCTAAATAAGTAAGTACATACCACATTAAAACAGTGGTTGTGGCTCTTAATGAGACATGTCGTGTGTTGTGGCTCAGTCTGAGCCTGAGCTTTCTGAACCTGCTCAGGACGAGGAGGATGGCATTTTTGAACATGTTCTGGTCAGTGAGTCAAATGAGGCAGACAGTGTGGATTCTGAGGAAGAGAGAGCATTTCTGTTCCCTAGAGAAAGGAATGTGTTTTCTGATAAAGATAGTGAAACTTCAGAGCTCCAGGTGGAGGCTCCTTCTGAGAGTGCTGGGCCTTCTGGTTCCCAGGGTGACGAAGCCCGGCTGGGCAAAGATAATGAGGTAACCGGCATTGAAGATAATAGGCTTGAAGATAGTAGTGGAGATTTGATTAGAGAAGACAGGTTGCAATTAAGAGTTCAAAGAAGCCTTGCCAACAAGCGTGAAGCTAGAGGTCAACGTAATGCTTTCATGTTGGGAAAACTTATTTAATGCTTTGGGCGAAGGGCATTCTCTGTCAGTCCAATGTGGCTTCTACCCTGTTAACCTCTGTGGAATTACCTTGGGTTTAACGGAAAGCTCTTTGGGACTTTGATTTTGATCCTGATTTCTTGGAGACCTTGTTTTGCTGCCATGGATGCTTGTTTAACCAATGCTTAAGGACTATGCTTCATGTTATTTGCCTTTGGAACTTGGATACCTTTCATTTAAGACTCTGTTTTGCTCAATGAAGTTTACTCCTTTATTTCCCTGTTTTGATTTTGGCTTTTTCTCAATAAACTACAAAATCTACAACCTTGGTGTGTGGTGGTGTCTTGGGCAAGGTGAATCTATCCTGAGTTGCGACATTGCATTATCACAGGATGTCTACGCCCAACACCACTGGAGAAATTATACTGTTTAGCTGGTAATGCACCACCTCACATCCCCCAGGAAGTAGCAGCCAACAAGGAAATGACCAAGGTAGTGACATCTCTGGCCCATCCTCTGTTTGGATATCAGCCAGCACGCCAACGCCTTAAGGAAAAGCTTCCTAAAATCTGCAGAGATACTTGCAGGAACACCTCAGCAAGCAAGAGTCCAAAAGTGGCAGGCGACAACTTGCAACCTCAAGCCATGGCTGATACCAAATGAGAGACTCCCTCCTGGGCACACAGAAGACTGGGCAACTTGGAAAGCACTGAACAGGTTGCGCTCTGGCACCACGAAATGCAGAGCCAACCTTAAGAAATGGGGCCACAAAGTGGCGTCCACATGTGAGTGTGGAGAAGAGCAAACCCCAGACCACCAACTACATTGCAGCCTGAGCCCTGCCACGTGCACAATGGAATATCATCTCACAGCAACACCAGAGGCACTCCAAGTGGCCAGACATTTAGTATAATGCCAAGTTTTTTTGAACACCTAACCCATCACTTGGCTACAGGCTTGGTTTGGAGTGACTCTCCAGCATTGAGCCATAGCAGCTCAAGGATCGTTGAAGAACATGAATTCCCACAGTAGATACGTGCACTTGGTCCTGCCATCACCTGAGTTGCCCCCAATTTTGGGTGCAAAGGGCAGAACTGAAAACAGGCAGATAAAGACAAGCTTTGAAAGGATCCATGACGGAGCCCTTCAGGCTGTGCCTCACATTTTCGGAAAGGACAACACACATAACGCACGGCTTCAGTTTGCTCAAAGGTCACCTGCCAAAACGGCAATGGCTTCTTGCTCTTTCCAGTGGTATCAAAAGGGGACTGGCCTCGACTCGCACCCTAAAGTTTACTGTTTTAGATGTGGGCAAAATGTCAGGAGAGAATGCTTCTGGAACATGGCCATACAGCCCAGAAAACTAACAGCAACACAATATAATCTGTATTAGTTACCCACTTCTCAAATAAAACAAGCCCATTAAATACATATATATTAATAAATGATGGGAATGAGGTTTTTGCTGAATTGTTTTAACAGTTATAGCATTTGGCCGTGTTTTCATGTTTAGGATTTGGAACTGTATAGTTTTTAAGGCTGTGAGCCACTTTGGGAGAAGAGGTGTACTTAAAAACAACAAGAACAATTAATAACAACAACAATAGTAGCAATATTATTAATTTTGTTTATCTTATCAATTTCCAGTCCATGCATTAGGAAGAATTCCATACTTAAAAAGAGGAATAAAATTGGTGCAACTGTGCAGTGTGGACTGCTTCTTGCCACCCACGCCAGCCCAACATTATCTATAGGGCCATATATATGCATAGATGCTCCCTGACGTATAATATTGAAAACTAAAGGGAGAGTGCAAAGAGAAGGGAGGGAAGAGCCTATTGTGTTCAAGCCGTTCTGAGAAAGTCACGCAGCCCGAGGCATTAGCATAGAGACAGAAGCGTTCAGGTATGATGCTAAAATAGCGGATAATTGGAAAGTTATGCTTCGGGGAACAGCGATAAATGGGTGGGAAAACCACACACACACACACACCCTTGATGCACAAGCAATGCCTTTTGTGCTACCTGGAAGGCACATTGGATGTCTGGTGGCTGGATTTGGAAGAAGCAACATGAGGAATGTATTGGCCGCAAAGGGCTTCGAGCCATCTTCCTTGCAAACTGTTTTGCCATCTCACGGGGGATTTGTAGTACATCGCCATGTGAGTGACCACCTAGTTGCATTCTACACTGTCGAATTAATGTAGTTTGGCACCGCTTGAACTGCCGTGGCATCCTGGGAGTTGTAGTTTGGCAAGCGAGCCCACTTTTTTGGCCAGAGAAGCAAGCGACCTTGGAAAGCTACAACTCCCAAGACTGACTATCACTGAAACACAGCAGCTAAGTCAAAGTGCATTCGTTCTACAGTGTAGACATTCCCCCTGTTAAAAGGCCTTGGAAAACGGCAACTCCCAAGATTGAGTCGCACTAAAGTGGTGCCAAAGTGTAGACACTCTCCCAGCTTGGAAAATTACATCTCCCAAGATGGAATAGCACTGAGACATGGCAGCAAAAGGGGTGCCAAAGTGCATAGACACTCTCCCAGGTAAAGACCTTAGAAAACTACAACTCTTGAGACTGAATCGCATTGAGATATGGCAGCTAAAGTGGTGCCAAAATACATACACACTCTCCCCATTAGAGACCTTGGAAAACTACAGCTTCCAAGATTGAGTAGCATTAAAGGGGTGCCAAAGTGCATTCGTACTACAGTGTAGGCAACCTCCCAGTTAAAAGACCTTGGTAAAACTGCAATTCTTGAGGCTGAGTAGCATTGAAACATGGCAGCTAAAGTGGTGCCAAAATGCATACACACTCTCCTAGTTAGGGACCTTGGAAAAGTACAACTCCCAAGATTGAATAGCACTGAGACGTGGCAGAGAAAGTGCTGCAAACTGCCTTTGTTCTACAGTGTAACATTCTCCCTGGTAAAGTCCTTGGAAAACTACAGCTCCCAGGATTGAGTAGCACTGAGACATGGCAGCCAAAGTAATGCCAAAGTGCATTCATTCTAGTGTAGACACTCTCCCAGTTAAAGACCTGGGAATACTACAATTCCAAGATTGAGTAGCACTAAAAGGATGCCAAAGTACATTCGTCTATAGTGTAGACACTCTCTCAGGTAAAGAGCTTGGAAAACTACAACTCCCAAGATGGAATAGCACTGAGACATGGCAGCAAGACACTCTCCCAGGTAAAGAGCTTGGAAAACTACAACTCCCAAGATGGAATAGCACTGAGACATGGTAGCAAAAGGGATGCCAAAGTGCATAGACACTCTCCTAGGTAAAGACCTTGGAATACTACAAATCCCAAGACTGAATAGCACTGAGACATGGCAGCAAGAGTGGTGCCAAACTGCATTCGTTCTACAGTGTGGATGTACCCTTTGATTCATGTTAAATCATTCTGACTCTGGCCACCTTCATTCTGACTCTGGCCACCTCCCTTTCAACATAACTCCAGCTCATGCCATAATAATATCACTAATAATAATACCTACCGATTAATGAGTGCCGGCTCAAGTTGTCGATCAAGAGGTCTTGCTTGGTCTCCATCGCTCTGAAACTCTGGAAGCTGGTTGGTCGATGCTGCGGTTTCTTACCATCCAGAATGCTGGCGCTAACAAACAAGATGGTAAACAAACACAACGATGTATATATTCTTTTGCAAGAAAGGATGCCTATTCTTGCAAAAAGGAGTGGCCAGAAACTCTCGGGCGAAGTTACCTTTTGCCCAGGATTTCTGGTAAGAGAAGTTCCTCCAAACCCCTTTCTTGGCAGCTCCGTCCAGAGAAGTAGTTGGAAACATACTCCTAGCATGAAAAGATAATGGGATTGAAGAAGACGCACCTTCCAAGAAACCACGCTCACATTCGGGGATAATCAAGGATTATGGGAAGATGTGTTGGCTTCCTCTGAGGCTGAGAGAGTGTGACTCACCCAACTGGTTTCTATGGCCGAATGGAAATTCAAACCCTGCCTGCAGAGATATTATAAATATTATAAAAAGTAGCAGTAATAATAACAATAGTAGTAATATCCTAGGGTTTCCTTGGTGTTATTGCTCCGAAGGCCTTCCCATATTGGATCCAAGGTTTCTTGATCTGAACACTGGGCTAGGATTCCGAAGCCATTGGGTGAGTCACACTCTCTCAGCCTCGGGATAAAACTTGTATAAACTTGAGATTAACTTCACAATTCAGCAGCAGATCAGTTGCACAACTTCAGCGCTTTCCAGTAGCTTCTTCCTGCACAGTATTTTCAGTCAACTGCTCCCACAGCCTGCAGTCACTCTGGAACCTTTTACAGACACTTGAGCACATGCCCAGCCATTGTCAGTTTTACCATTGTTTTCCCCCCATTTGTGGGGTTCAGAATGCTCTTTAATTGTAGTGAACTATAAATCCCAGTAACTACAAATCCCAAATGTCAAGGTCTATTTCTCCAAACTCCCATCTGTGTTCATATTTGGGCATATGGAATATTCATGCCAAGTTTGGTCCAGATCCATCATTGTTTGAGTCCACAGTGCTCTCTGGATGTAGGTGAACTACAACTCCCAAATTCAAGGTCAGTGCTCACCAAACCCTTCTAGTGTTTTCTGTTGGCCATGGGAGTCCTGTATGCCCCAGTTTGTTCAATTCTATCATGCTATTTGATTGTAGGAGAACTATAAATCCCAGCAACTACAACTCCCTATCTATCTATCTATCTATCTATCTATCTATCTATCTATCTATCTATCTATCTCTATGGCTGGATGGCTCTTTGTCAGGAGGACTTTGATTACGTTTTCTTGCCCTGATGAAGGGAGTTGGATTGGATTCTGTCGTTCATGGGGTTCAGAATGCTTTTTGATTCTAGGTGAACTGTGAATCCAAGTGACTACAAACTGCCCCAAACTCCATCTGTGTTCACACTTGGGCGTATTGAGTGCTTGTGCCAAGTTTGGTCCAGATCCATCATTGTTTGAGTCCACAGTGCTCTCTGGATGTAGGTGAACTACAACTCCAAAACTCAAGGTCAATGCCCACCAAACCCTTCCAGTATTTTCTGTTGGTCATGGGAGTTCTGTGTGCCACGTTTGGTTCAATTCCATCGTTGATGGAGTTCAGAATGCTCTTTGATTGTAGGTGAACTATAAATCCCAGCAACTACAACTCCCAAATGACAAAATCATAATTTTTTGAGTGATGGTCACTCCTTGTGTTGTGAGACGTTTTGTTGCCAAATTTGGTGTGATTTCGTTCATTGGTTCTTTTGTTTTTAAGGTACTCATTATGCAGAGAGCATTTATATATATATATATATATATATATTACACATAGCAATCACTGATTGGTTCCCAACTCATTAACTTAACTCAGACCCAGGATTACATCATTCACAATCACCTGGACTAGGCCAGAACATATTCCCCAAATGATTCCCTATATACAGTGAATGCATGACTCAGCATTTCCAATTGTTGTTGTTGTTCATTCGTTCAGTCGTCTCCGACTCTTTGTGACCTCATGGACCAGCCCATGCCAGAGCTCCCTGTCGGCCGTTACCACCCCCAGCTCCCTCAAGGTCAGTCCAGTCACTTCAAGGATGCCATCCATCCATCTTGCCCTTGGTCGGCCCCTCTTCCTTTTGCCTTCCACTTTCCCCAGCATTTCCAATAGAAGCCCAATAACAGTGCATGACTCAGCTATATTACAATACAATACATTGTAAAACCTGACAGAATCCTAGTCCAATGTTCAAATCAACAGAGCCTTGGGTCCAATATGGAAACCATCTCCTAGGTTTTCCTCGGTACGATTTCTCCGGAGGGCACTTTGCCTTCCTCTGAGGCTGAGAAAGTGTGATTTGCCCAATGAGTTTTTAAATAACCAAAAGGGAGACTTCGATCCAGGTTTTTAGCTGGGCTCAGGTAGCAAAAGGGCCCATTTCTCTGTTTTCATCCCAGTTGTATTGATCCCTGGCCCATACCTGCAAAGAAAGTGGCTGGGCGAAATCAATGCGGACGCAGCCCAGGCGCCGACAAAGCGCTCGACAGACAGTCCAGAGGGTTGTCCAAAGACCGATGGCCCTTGCAGGACCCTGGCAACAAAACGAAACGAGACGAGACGAGACGAAACGAAACGAGACGAGACGAGACGAGACGAAACGAAACGAAACGAAACGAAACAAAACAAAACAGGTATTAAAGGTGTTGGTTGGAGGACAGAATCTCCATCTTTCATGAAGCACATCTTTGACTTCACTGGGTTGCTGTGAGTTTTTTGGGCTATCTAGCTATATTCCAGCAGCATTCTCTCCTGACGTTTCTCCTACATCTGTGGCTTATTTATTTATTTATATTTGTTACATTTATACCCCGCCTTTCTGTATCCCAGCAGGAGGACTCAAGACGGCTTACAGTGGTGCATACACAGTGCCTCAAAACAACAAATTCACCTTAAAATAGTGTAAAATTACAACATATCTAAAACACATTCAAAGTGAAAAACATGCCATCCCGACTTCAAGGTCTAAAGCCGTTCCAAGGTCAAATTGCACATAATTCTATAGTCGGCATACTGCATTGTCCTAATTTTCAGGTTTTGACTCTCTTCCTGAAAGCTAATAGGGAGGGGGCTGATCTGATGTCACTAGAGAGGGAGTTCCACAAGTGAGGGGCCACCAATGAGAAGGCCCTGTCGCTGGTCCCTGCCAGGCGGGATTGAGAGCAGGACCTCCCCAGATGATCTTAGTCTCTGTGCTGGTCCATAAGGGAAGATATGTTCGGACAAGTAGCCTGGGCCAGAACCATTTAGGGCTTTATAGGCTAAAGCCAGCCGTCTTGTTCTTGGATGTCTGCATACCTGAGGCCATCTTCGTTTCTCCTCTCTGAACAAGGCCCAACCTCATCTAACTGCATTGACTCAATACTGTGCAATCCTGGGATTTGTAGTTTAGTGAGGCATCTGCATCTTTTGCCAGAGAAGGCTTAAGGCCTTGCAAAGCTACATTCACCATGACTCCATTTCATTGAAGCAAAGGAATTAAAGTGGGTTCATTCCGCAGCAGAGATGCACCCTAAGATTTCCTTTCCATTACTGATGTAATAACACTTTTGTTTGTATAACGAAGGAATCCTAAGCAGGAAGCAACTGCAATGCCCAAATGACAAAGATGGCACTTTTTGCACATGGCATTCAGCAAAAAAAATACTCTTTTTTGGTTTCAGGATTTTGCAAACTGAGGTTCAAATGCTGCACGAGACCCGAGTCAATATGATAATCCTATTAGTGGACTTCGATGAAAAAGGATCGACTGAAAGGCAAAAACAAAAATCATATTACGCTCCGAAAAGGAACCCTGGAGACATAATCAATAGTTTCTTCCCTCTTTTTCTTATAAGAGAAGCACCTGAGATATTCCATCTCTACAAATGTCTAAAATATCATTGATTCTATAGCACGTTTCTTGTGTTTTTCATGGCCGGACGGTGTCGTCCACATATCTGAACCATATAGTGGGCTTTTTTGTTGCTGTTTCCAAGGCTTGTTTTTCAAAGCGTTCCATGCAGAAATGTGCTATGACTGGGCTGAGAGGGCTCCCCATGGCTACCCCATCTTTATGTTCATAGAATTCATTGTCCCACTGGAAGTAGCTTATGGCGAGGCAATGGTGAAACAGGTCTATGATGTCTTCTGGGAAATTCTCGTTGATGAGTGTGATGGTGTCTGCTACCAGGACCTTGGTGGATAGAAGCTGATCAGTATATCATCCGTATTGACACCTTCACCATTTGGAGCCATGGAGAAGAAGAACTCAACAAGTGATCAGGGGTCTGGAAAACAAGCCCTATGAGGAGTGACTTAAAGAACTGGGCATTTTTAGCATGAAGAAGAGAAGGCTGAGAGGAGACATGATAGCCATGTATAAATATGTGAGAGGAAGCCACAGGGAGGAGGGAGCAAGCTTGTTTTCTGCTTCCCTGGAGACTAGGACGCGGAACAATGGCTTCAAACTACAAGAAAGGAGATTCCATCTGATCATTAGGAAGAACTTCTTGACTGTGAGAGCCATTCAGCAGTGGAACTCTCTGCCCCAGAGTGTGATGGAGGATCCTTCTTTGGAAGCTTTTAAACAGAGGCTGGATGGCCATTTGTCAGGGGTGCTTTGAATACAATTTTCCTGCTTCTTGGCAGGGGGTTGGCCTGGATGGCCCATGAGTTCTCTTCCAACTCTAGGATTTTATGATTCTAAGTTCCTGGACTACCTCAAGAGCATCCACCCAAACATCCAATTCATCATGGAAAAAGAAAATGAAGAGAAAATACCATTTCTAGATCTTCTAGAGCAATAACGGTGTTGAGCGACACGGATGTTGTACTTATCAAAATACAACTTAATGGTGTAACATTAGAAAATGTTGACCATTTCCGCTACCTTGGCAGACACCTCTCCACAAAAGTCAACATTGACACCGAAATACAACACCGCCTGAGCTCTGCAAGTGCAGCATTTTTCTGAATGAAGCAGAGAGTGTTTGAGAACCGGGACATCCGTAGGAATACCAAGGTGCTTGTTTATAAAGCTATTGTCCTCCCAACCCTGCTATACACCTGCAAGACGTGGACTGTCTACAGACGTCACATACAACTCCTGGAATGATTCCATCAGCACTGCCTCAGGAAAATCCTGCAAATCTCTTGGGAAGACAAGCGGACAAATGTCAGCGTGTTGGATGAAGCAAATACTACCAGCATTGAAGCGATGGTCCTCCGCCATCAACTCCGCTGGACCAGCCATGTTGTCCGGATGCCTGACCACCTTCTCCCAAAGCAGTTGCTCTGCTCCGAACTCAAGAACAGACAACGGAATGTTGGAGGACAGGAAAAGAGATTGAAAGATGGGCTCAAAGCCAACCTTAAAAACTCTGGCATGGACAATGAGAACTGGGAAGCCTTGGCCCTTGAGCGCTCCAGCTGGAGGTCAGCTGTGACCAGCAGTGCTGTAGAATTTGAAGAGGCACGAATGGAGGGCAAAAGAGAGAAACGTGCCAAGAAGAAGGCTCATCTAGCCAACCCCAACCGAGACTGCCTTCCACCTGGAAACCAATGCCCTCACTGCAGGAGAAGACGCAGATCAAGAATAGGGCTCCACAGTCACCTATGGACCCACCAGTACACTGATCTTGGAAGACTGTCCTACTCGGACAATGAAGGATCGCCTAAGTAAATACTAAGTAAGTAAGTAAGTAAAGTATCAAAATCCAGTACGTCTTACCCCTTGATCAATGGAAACCAAGGTAGGCGCCACGTCAAAGGAGACCCCAACGGGGACCACCATGATGTCAGGGACGATGCCAGCGTGGAAGGCGTTGACCACAAGTCGTAGCCACATTTGTCCAGCAGCCGAGAGCTGTGAGGGCCCGGCGGAGACCTCTTCCAAGAAGATCAGCAGCGGCTGCTTGCGCCTAAGCAACTCATCCACATACTGTAGGGGCAGAAGGAACAAGGATGAAAGAGCACATCACATCCATTCTGCAATGATGTGGTGCAGTAATGTGGCTCTCTATCTGTTTCTGCCGCCATTGCTGGCACTGAATTAATTACCATGTTTCCTTGAATCTAATGCTCATCTTTTTTCTTTTTCTTTTTCTTTTTTTTTTTTTGCTAAATGACCTTGCCAAAATTTGGGGTTTGTTTGATTCGTTCCTTTTGCATCCAGTTAATCTGGACTATATTTCTGTTAACCTTTTTGGACCAGATCTGGTTGTTTCTTGAATTTGGATCAGTGGCACTGCATTTAAGTACCTCTGCGTCCTTTTTTCTTTTGTTTTAATAAACTGTTTTGAAGCCACTTTTGAGTCTGGCCCTTTAAGGTGTCTGTGATTCTAACACCCAAATTTGGGCATATCATATGCAAACCAAATTTGGTTCAGAGCCATCATTGTTTGGGTTCATAGTTTGCTCTGGATGTTGGTGAACTATAACTCCCTAGAAATCCCTCCACAGTCCTCCAGTAGGTTGAGATAGTAATGGGGCTTCTGTATGCCAAGTTAGTTCCAGATCCATTGTCCCGTATGAAAGCCTTCACTTGGGTGGTGGGCAGGATAGTGTTTATGGAGGACAGTAGAAGACGTTGTACATGTTCATGGCGCTCGCCATAACCTGCAATGTCATTGGAGGGCCTTTGGTGGATCATTGCTGTTTGTGGAAGTGGGAGCACATCTGTTAAAATGACATATTTTCATTTTTATTATGTGTATAGATAGAAAGATGACAACGATGATGATGAACCTGCTTTTAAACCCATGGTGCCCTCACAGACAACAGCTATCAGAGTTTCTCTTTCCAAAAACCAAAATATTCAACGTACTGAAGCTAACACAGCTTTGGAGAGTGTTTGCTGCTTGCTGTCTTGCATCTGATCCATTTCTTCAGGGAGAAATACTCCTCCTAAGTGAGCCAGCAGCGCCCTGAACAACAACAACAGAATTACATTTTTAAATATGTGTGTGTGTGTGTGTGTGTGTGTGTGTATGGTGGTGCAGCAGGTTAAACTGCTGAGCTGTTGAACTTGCTGACAATAACGTTGTTGGTTTGAATCCAGGGAGCAGGGTGAGCTCCTGCTGTCAGCCCCAGCTTCTGCCAACCGAGCAGTTTGAAAACATGCAAATGTGAGTACATCAATAGTTACCACTCAGGCGGGAAGGTCACAGTGTTCCATGCAGTCATGCTGCCCACATGACCTTGGAGGTGCCAATGCCAGCTCTTCAGCTTAGAAATGGAGATGAGCACCATCTCCCAGAGTCAAACATGACTAGATTAGGCTTTACCTTTACCTAACGATGGACAACGATGATTATTAATTCCAATACAGAATTATTATTAAAATATTATCCTTAGTGTTGGTGTTAGTATTGCCAGTGTGGATTCCTACTACTACTAATAAAAATCCCAACATGGAAAAATAATTACATGTTCTCCGTCTTCCAGCTCCACAGATATATAAGCCCCATTTTCCTAGTTTCCAACAGACCTCACAACCTCTGAGGATGCCTGCCATAGATACGGGCAAAACGTCAGGAGAGAATGCTTCTGGAACATGGCCAGACAACCCGCAAAACTCACAATAACCCAGTGATTCCAGCCATGAAAGCCTTCAACAATACTACTACTTCTACTACTACCAATAATAATAATAATTCTAACATGAAATAATAACAATTCCAACCTTGAATTATTTTATTAAACTATTAATAATAATAATAATAGTTCCAATATACAATTATTATTAAATAATATAATAATAAATATTATTGTTGTTGTTATTGTTAATATTATTTCCAACATAGAGCCAGCAGAGTGATTTTGTTTGATGTACTAATGTTGTTACTCATCAAACTATTATTATTATTATTATTATTATTATTATTATTATTATTATATGTGTGAGAGAGAGTATATATGTGTATAGATGTGTGTGTATAGATATATATTATATTTATAAGAATTGTAAATTATATATGTTTATTTAATTGCTAATATTAATATTCAAGAGGATGACTATGTGATGCCTTTTCAATGTGTATGTGCACTAGATCAGCGTTTCTGGGTGTCGAGACCCCTGGGGGTGTCGCAAGGGGGTGTGAGAGGGGTCACCAAAGACCATCAGAAAACACAGTATTTTCTGTAGGTCATGGGGGTTTTGTAGAGTTTGGCCCAATTCTGTTGTTGGTGGGGTTCAGACTGCTCTTTAATGGTAGGTGAACTATAAAGTTCAGCAACTGTAACTCCCAAATGTCAAGGTCTATTTCCCCAAACTCCACCAGTATTCACATTTGGGCATATTGAATGTCCATGCCAAGTCTGATCTAATCCATCGTTGTTTGAGTCCACAGTGCTTTCTGGATGGAGGTGAACTACAATTCTAAAACTCAAGATCAGAGCCCACCAAACCCTTCCAGTATTTTCCGTTGGTCATGGGAGTTCTGTGTGCCAACTTTGGTTCAATTCCATTGTTGGTGGAGTTCAGAATGCTCTTGGATTGTAGGTAAACTATAAATCCCACCAACTACAACTCCCAAATGACAAAATCAATCCCTACAACCCCACCAGTATTCAAATGTGGGCGTATGGGGTATATGTGCCAAATTTGTTCCAGTTGTGTCCGACTCTGGGGTGTGATGCTCATCTCAATTTCTTAGCCGAAGAGCCGGCGTTGTACATAGACACTTCCAAGGTCATGTGGCCAGCATGACTGCATGGAGCGCCCTTACCTTCCCACCGGAGCGGTACCTATTGATCTACTCACATTTGCATGTTTTCAAACTGTTAGGTTGGCAGAAGCTGGGGCTGACAGTGGAAGCTCACGCCGCTCCCTGGATCCGAACCTGTGACTTTTCGGTCAACAAGCTCAGCAGCCTAGTGCTTTAACCCACTGTGCCACAATTCATAACAGTAGCAAAATTACAGTTATGATTTGCAATGTAAATAATGTTATGGTTGGGGGTCACCACAACAGGAGGAACTGTATTAAGAGGTCGCGGCATTAGGAAGGTTGAGAAACACTGAACTAGATGAAATCAGCTGTAAATAATATGATTAAAAGTGGAAATATAATTTTTAAAATTACAAAAAAGTGTATCCCTGAAAAAAAAATTGTGAACTCTTTTCAAGGTAAAGCACAAAATCAACCCTGTTTTTGAAACTTTCCAACTTTTGCACCTGCAAAAGGGGAACAAGTCTAAATCCGTGAACCTGGAGAGCTAAAAATTATCGGAACCCGTTGTAGGAATAACACATTATGCAAATTCCCTCCCCAAATGATTAAAATATTGTTATTTCACACGGCTTATGAAATTTGGTTCATAGAGACACAAACGCTGCTCGGCGTCGGCAGGAGAAGTAAAAGCTTTTTCAAGACAGAACCACCCACGCTAATTGCCAAAGAGAGAGGAAGAAAGGAAGAGCAGGAAAAAAGAAGCTTCCAGGAGGAGTCAAAGCAATCCAGATTGCAAAAAGCCAGCCTTGGCAAGACGAGGAACAGCAAAACTTTTTAATACTGTGCACAAAATAGTACCAGTTAGATATATAGGCCAAATTCTGGCTTATTGTATAAGTGGAAGCAACTTAGGACTTCATCGCACGAGGCTGTAAAAACAGGTTCAAAGAAAGATGCTGCAAACGCAACTTGCTTTGTTAAGGTCCCAAAACTATCGAGGCGAGTGCAATAACATCTGAAAACTAACAAATTGAGTGTGATAATGTCCTAAAAACCCTGGTGGTGCAGTGGGTAAATAATAATAGAGTAAAATGATAAATGTAATAATAATAGAGTAAAATAATGAAAATGTAATAATAACAATAAAGTAAAATGATAAATGTAATAATAGAGTAAAATGATAAATGTAATAATAATAGAGTAAAACAATACATATACCGTATATACTCGAGTATAAGCCAACCCGAATATAAGCCGAGGCACCTAATTTTACCACAAAAAACTGGGAAAATGTATTGACTCGAATATAAGCCGAGGGTGGGAAATGCAGCAGCTGCTGGTAAATTTCAAAATAAAAATAGATACCAATAAAATTATATTAATTTAGACATCAGTAAGCTAAATGTTTTTGAATATTTACATAAAACTGTAATTCAAGATATGAGTGTCCAACTCTGATTGAACCATTATTCTAACCTTCTTCAATGTAAATGTGCTTACATGTCCTCCAATAATAATAGAGTAAAATAATAATAGTAGAGTAAAATAATAAACGTAATAATAACAATACAGTAAAATAATAAGTGCAACAATAACAATAAAATAATAAATGTAATAATAATAACAACAACAACAAAGTAAAAGAATAAATAATATTGACTCGAGTATAAGCCGGGGGAGACTCTTTCAGCCTAAAAAAAGGATTGAAATACTAGGCTTATACTCGAGTATATACAGTAATAATAACAAGAACAACAACAACGTAAAATAATAAATAACTGACTCGAGTATAAGCCATGGGGGTCTTTTTCAGCCTAAAAAAAGGGCTGAAAAAGTAGGCTTATATTTATTATTTATTTATTTTATTTACATTATTTGTATACCGCCCCTCTCAGACTTACAGCCACTCGAGGCGGTTTACAAGGCAAAATTCAATGCCACAAAATTCAACACAATTTTAAACATTAACATCAATAAAATCATAACAGCAATAAAAACGTAAGTCAGCAAATCCTCAATAAAAACATTGTCCAATTCCATTGTATAGTTGTTCCGTTTTCCTATGTCCATTACTCAATATTTGCAAATGCTTGCTCGAACAGCCATGTCTTGAATTTTTTCCGAAACATTAGGAGCAAAGAAGCTGATCTAATACTCGAGTATATTCAGTAATAAGGTCCTAAAACTAACATGTCAAGTGCGATAATGTCTGAAAATGAACAGATCATTATAATGTCCCAAAATGATCAAGAGATGCACCCAAGGATGTATGTTCCAATGAAAGGACAAAATATCCTGCTGAAGTTTCTGAAGACCTCATCACTTAAGAGAAAAAATTCCACTTTAATAAGACTTACCTGTATTTTGGAGTGAACGTCTTGTAATCCCCCGCAACCCTAGGCAAGGCAAGGCCCTGAGAAACCAGGAGGAATGGAAGCAGAAGTTCATCCAGGTGAGATTTATGTGTCGACAGGAACACCGTGGGGACATCAGGCTAAAGATGGGAAACACAATTTCTAATTGATAGCAAAAACTTAAAATTGGCATTGTAGTGCTGCAACTGCACCTCATAAGAGGGCCCCTACTACTTTTGATTTGCTACCAAACAATGCGCAATTGCAACCTGTCCTACAAAGTGTGGTTCATGCACAACCTTCCCTTTTGTTCCCTCTGCACAGTTGTCAACTCCCCTTCCCCAGGAGGGCTCCTCTCCCATCAGTGGATGCAACATAGGACCTTATCACGCAAGGCTTGAAAATGCTGCAAGGCCGTCTTTCCTTGTTAATGTACCAAAACTCCCAAGCCGAGTGTGATAATGTCCTTAAACTAACAAGTTGGGTGTAATAATGTCCTGAAAAAGAACAAGTGCAATAATGTACTAAAATTAACACATCAAGTGTGATAATGTCCTAAACCTAACAAGGTGAGTTTGAAAATCTCCTAAAACGAACAAGTTGAATGTGATAATGTCCTAAGATTGACATATTGAGTGCAGTAATATCCTAAAATTAAAGGTTGAGTGCGATAATGTTCCAAAACTAACACATTGAGTGCGAAAATGTCCTAAAACTAACATGTTGAGTGTGATAATGTTCTAAAACTAATGAGTGTGAGAATGTCCTAAAACTAACATGTCGAGTGCAGTCCTATCCAAAAGCTAAAAGGTTGAGTTTGATAATGTCCTAAAACTAACACATTGAGTGTGATAATGTCCTAAAAATAACACGATGAGTGTGAGAATGTCCTAAAACTAACAAGTTGAGTGCAATAATATCCTAAAATTAACATGTCGAGTGCTGTAATGTCCTAAAACGCCATTCCCACCGGAATATCCTAAAATTAACATGTCGAGTGCTGTAATGTCCTAAAACGAAACGGCTGAGTGTGATAATGTTCTAAAACACGTCAAGTGTGATAATGTTCTAAAACGAACACATCAAATGTGATAATGTCCTAAAACTAGCATGTCAAGTGTGATAATGTTCTAAAACTAACAAGTTGAGTGCGAGAATATCCTAAAACTAATAAGTTGAGTGCAAAAAATTTCTAAAACCAACACGCTGAATACGATAATGTCCTAAAACTAGCAAAGTAAGAACAATAATGTTCTAAAACTAACAAGTTGAGTGTGATAATGTCCTAAAACTAACAAGTTGAGTGTGTTAATGTCCTTAAACTAACAAGTTGAGTGTGATAATGTCCTAAAACACATCAAGTGTAATAATGTTTTAAAACTAACATGTTGAATGTGATAATGTCCTAAAATGAACATGTCAAGCGCAGTAATGTCCTAAAACTAACAAGACAAGTGTGATAATGTCCTAATACGAACATGTTGAGGAAGCTCCCAGGAGGAAAAGGAGACTCACCACCTGTGCCGCTCTGCGCACCATTTCCACCTGCCCTTTATGGATGATAACGCTAAGGAAGATCCTGTTGAGGAGCTGGAAGAGAGCCCAGTGGCACAGCCTGGAGGAACAGGAAGGAAGGGAGGGAAGGAAATAAATGAGAGAGAGAGAGAAAGGAAGGAAGGGATAAGACATAAAAGAAAAGAAAGAGGAGGGAAGGAAGGAAATGACAGGATGAGGAAGGAAGGGAGAGAGAGGAGGGGGGAATGAAAAGAGGAAGGAACAAGGGAGAGAGTGAAATAGGTGATAGAGAAAGGTAGGAAGGAACCGGACAGGAAAGAAGAGGAAGGAAGAGAGAGGAGAGGTAGGGAAGGAAATGGAAGAAGAGTAAGTAATTGTTGCACTCCAGAACAGGAATAATCCTCTGACTTTAAACACCACATGTTGAATAGGAAAAAACAATCCTTTTAAGTAAAAAACAGCAAAGTAAAAAAGCACTTTAAAGAAATAGGTAAATCCAATTACGGAACCACATAAGCAGGAACAAATAAGTCCAGGTAGAGTTCAGCAAAGTCCACAAAAGCAAACTCCACACATCTCCAATACAATCCAGAAAATCAGGAATACGTTGATCCAAGGCTTGGGTAAGCAATCATGAAATCCAGGAATCCAAAACCATGAACAAGAAATATCACAGCATGAAACTTCAAAGCAAGGTTTCCATAAAACAAGGACGAGAAATTGGCATGATTCTAAACATCCCAAACCTGAGACTTTTATCCCCTCATTAGCTAGGTCACTGGTGGTCAGAAATTGGTTCTCTTTAGTTGAGGCTTTGTTATTGTTTTCGTCTAAGCCAGGGGTCCTCAAACTATGGCCCACGGCCCGCCAAGGGCACTTATTCGGCCCGTGGAGGAGGAGCGCCCCCCCCCATACACAGTGCCCCTCCCTTGGCTGGCTCACGCTATCCGTCAGGCCCGATGGGCAACATGAGCCAGCCATGGGCAGCTGCTCCGCGTGGCCTACTCGCGCGTAAAGCACCTCGCGAGGTGCTTTAAGCGTGAGTAGGCCACGCGGGGCTGCTCCTCCCTTGGCAGGCTCACGCTGCCACATGGGCCCAGCGCTCCATGCAGTCATGCCGGCCACATGACCTTGGAGGTGTCTACGGACAACGCCGGCTCTTCGACTTAGAAATGCAGATGAGCACCACACACCGGAGTCAGACACGACTGGACTTCATGTCAGAGGAAAACCTTTAACTTGGAAAATTGTGGAAGATCCAGGGTGGGAGAAAGAACTCTTGTCTGTTGGAGGTAGGTATGAATGCTTCAATTGGCCACCTTGATTACCATTTCATAGCCTGACAGTTTTTAGGGAGAATCCTTTGTTGAGAGGTGATTAGCTGGCCCTGATTGTTTCTTGTCTGGAGTTCCCCTGTGTTTGAGTGTTGTTCTTTATTTACAGTTATAATTTTAGAGTTTTCTTTAAATACTGGTACCCAGATTTTGTTCAGACTAGAAATAGGAAGATTTCCCATTCTCTGCTCCTGGAATTACTGCCTAAAGAGGGCTAGAAAGAACCCCCTCTAAGGGCCCTTCCACACAGCAAAAACAGATATGTGCAATGTGCATAGGGATTTTTTTATTGATTTTTTTAAAATGTAGTCCGGCCCTCCAACGGTCTGAGGGGCAGTGAACTGGCCCCCGGTTTAAAAAGTTTGAGGACCCCTGGTCTAAGCCTTTGCACAGCTCTCCTGTTTTCACTAAGCTCTTCTCGTCTATCTCTTGGCTCGTGATCTACTTGCTCATTAATTTCTGCAGGTGCTGAACTATTTTCATGTTCTCTCTCTTTAGAACTCTCTGGTAACAATTCAGAAAGCACACCATCATCCCCACACAACTCAGGGACTTTCTCATGGGAAACTACAGGGATCTCCTGGTCATTCTCTGCATCAATATCACTATTGCCATCTTGAAACTCATCTTGAACCTCATTAACTGCACCCTGAGCCTGAAACACAATCACAGGCTGAACTCCAACAGTAATGAGGGAGGAAGGGACGGAAATAGGTGAAAGAGAAAGAATGCAACACAGCAGGAAAAAAAGAGGAAGAAAGAGGGAGATAGGAAGGAAAGTGCAGGAAGAGGAAGGAAGGGAAAGAGAGGAGGCAATAAGGGAGGAAGGAAAATAGTTAGAGAGAGAGAAAGGAAAGAAGAGGAAGAAAGAGAGAGGAGGAGATAGGAAGTAAAAGAGGCAGGAATGAAGGAGGAAGAATAGGTAAGAGAGAGTGAGAAAGGAAGGAAGGAAGAGAAAAGACAGAAAAGAAAAGAGTGGAAGGAAATGACAGGAAGAGGAAGGAAGGGAGAGAGAGGTGGAGAGGGAATGAAAAGTGGAAGGAACAAAGTGAAATGGGAGAGAGAGAGAAAGGAAGGAACAGAACAGGAAAGAAAAGGAAGGAGGAAGGAAAGGAAGGAAGAAGGGGAGAGAAAGAGAAAGGAAAGGGAAAGAAGAGGGAGGAAAGGGAGGAAAAGGAAGAGAAGAGAAAGAAGAAGGAAAGAAGAGGAAGAAGAAAGAGGAAGGAAAGTGAGAGAGGAAGAAGGGAAAGAGAGGAGAGAAGGAAGAGAAGGAAAAGGGAGGAAGAGAAATAAGTGGAGAGAGAGAGAGAAATGAAGGAGAAGAAAGAGAGAGAGAAGAAAAGGAAGAGAAAAGAAGGAAATAGAGGAGGGAGACAAGAAGGAAAGAAAAGGAACGAGGAGGAAGAAAAGGAAAAAGAGAGAGAGAGAGAGAGGAGAGAAAGAGAAAGGGAGGGAGGGAGGGAAGAAAGAAAAGGAGAGAGAAGGGAAGGGAAGGCAGGAAGGAAGGAAGGAAAGGAAGAAGGAAGGAAGGAAGGAAGAAGGAAGGAAGGAAGGAAGGAGAGGAAGGAGGAAAAGAAGGGAAGAAGGAAGGAACAAGAAAAGGAGTGAAATAGGTGAGAGATAGATAAAAAGGAAGGGGCATGGCAGAAAAGAAAAGAGAGAGAAGAAGGAAAGAATGGGAAGAGGAAGGAAAGGAGAGAGAGGAAAGCGAAGGAAAAGAGGAAGGAGCAAGGGAAAGGGAAATAGATGAGAAAGAGAGGTGGGAGAAGGAAGGAAGGGACAAGACAGAAAAGAAAAGAGAGAGGGAAGGAAAGGACAGGAAGAGGAAGAAAGGGAGACAGAGAAGGGAAGAAGGAAGGAAGGAGGGAGGAAGAAAAAGAAAGAGGAAGGAACAAGGGAGAGGGAAATAGGTGACAGAGAAAGAAAGGAAAGAAGAAACGGAGGAAGGGACAAGACAGAAAAGAAAAGAGAGAGTGAGAATAAGCAAAGGAGAGGAAGAGGAAGGATTTATGTATTTGTCGTGTCAGGGCAACCAGTCAAATTATATTACATTTCTGACAGAACAAAGCAAACAAACAGACAAAATACAAAATTTGTGAGTTTGGTAGTTGATTAAATGTCCTTTGACCAGTATCTGTCCACTTGGAGTGCTTCTGGTGTTGCTACAAGAAGGTCCTCCATTGTGCATGTGGCAGGGCTCACGTTGTATTGCTGCAGGTGGTCAGTGGTTTGCTCCTCTCCACATTCGCATATCGTGGATTCCACTTTGTGGTCCCATTTCTGAAGGTTGGCTCTGCATCTTGTGGTACCAGAGCGCAGTCTGTTCAGCGCCTTCCAAGTCGCCCAGTCCTCTGTGTGCCCAGGGGGAGTCTCTCATTTGGTATCAGCCATTGGTTGAGGTTCTGGGTTTGAGCCTGCCACTTTTGGACTCTCGCTTGCTGAGGTGTTCCAGCGAGTGTCTCTGTAGATCTTAGAAAACTATGTCTGGATCTAAGTCGTTGACGTGCTGGCTGATACCCAAACAGGGGATGAGCTGGAGATGTCTCTGCCTTGGTCCTTTCACTATTGGTGCCACTTCCCGGCAGGAAGGAAGCGAAAGAGAAGAGGGAAGGGAAAGAAAATAACAAGGAACAAAGAAGGGAAAGAAATGTGAAAGAGAGAGGGGCGGGAGGGGAGAGAGAGAGAAGGAAGGAAGGAAGGAAGGAAGGAAGGAAGGAAGGAAGGAAGGAAGGAAGGAAGGAAGAGGAGAGGAGAGGAAAGAGGAGGAAGAAAAAGAGAGAGGAAGGAAAGGGCAGGAAAAGGAAAGAAGGGAGAGTGAGGAGGGAAGGAAAAGAAGAAAGGAAAGAGGAGAAAGACAGAGAGAAAGAAAAAGAAGGGAAAGGAAGCAAAAGAAAAGAAAGAAAAGAGGAAGAGAAGGGAAGGATGAGAAAACATCGCATGCTCCAACATGGTTGCAGTCTCCCCGCACGGCTACCTTTATATTTTATGAAAGCATCACATCTCTTTGGGAAAAAAGATGAGGGGCACATTAGCGTTCAAAGAGATTGCATTGTGAAACGTGGGGCTCCTCGTCCTCACCCGCATCCCACGCAAGGCCCCATTGCCTTTGCTCTCCCCGATTAGTTCTTAATTGATTAATCTGAAGCTCAGGAAAGGTGTCGGGCGGATAATGAAGGCACACCCTCCTTCATCCAAGGTGTTGCAAAACAACCCGCTTTCCTGGGCTTTGCGGCTTCCTACCTCAGCAGAAAAGGAGACAAGGAGGCCTGGATCTGGCCCAGTATCCTGCGAATCTCTTGGATCCACTGCGATGCAAACAGATCCTTGGCTGGAGGAGCATCTCCTTCGCCCCACGGCACCGCCTGGTGCACGACATCTTGCACCCTGGAAAAGGAGGGAGAAAAAGCAAAGGATGACTATGAGTTAAACACCTTTTAGCAAAGGGTTGTTGTGAGTTTTCCAGGCTGAAGCATTCTCTCCTGACATTTTGCCTGCATCTATGATCTCACAACCTCTGAGGATTCCTGTCATAGATGCAGGTGAAACATCAGGAGATAATGCTTCAGGAACATGGCCATACAGCCTGGAAAACTCACAACAACCTAGTTATTCTGGCCATGAATATTGAACAGACTTCACAACCTCTGAGAATGCCTGCCATAGATGCAAGCGAAGCATCAGGATAGAATGCTTCAGGAACATGGCCATACAGCCCAGAAAATTCACAACAACCCAATAATTCCAGCCATGAAAGTTTTCAACATCTGTCAGGAGGGCTTTGATTGTGTATTTCCACCCAGCAGAATAGGGTTGAACTAGATGGCCCTTCAGGGTTTTTTCCAACTTTAGGATTTGACAGTTCTAATAATAATAATAATAATAATAACAACAACAACAACAACAACAACAACAACAACAACAACAACAACAACAACAGAAGAAGAAGAAGAAGAAGAAGAAGACAGAAGCTGAGTGGCCATCTGTCAAGAGGACTTTGATAGTGTATTTCCACCCAGCAGAACAGGGCTGGACTAGATGGCCCTTGGGGGTCTCTCCCAACTCTAGGATTCTATTATTATTATTATTATTATTATTTAGACAGAAGCTAGATGGCCATCTGTTGGGAGGGTTTTGTGTATTTCCACCTGTCAGAGTAGCATTAGACTAGATGGCCCTTGGAGGTCTCTCCCAACTCTAGGATTATATTATTATTATTATTATTATTATTATTATTGTTATTATTATTATTTAAACAGAGGCTGGATGGCCCTCTGTCGGGAGGGCTTTGCTTGTGTCTTCCTGCCTGGCAGATTACAATGTTTTTGGGACATTGCAGAATTAATGCAGTTTGACACTGCTTTAACAGCCGTGGCTCAATATTATGGAATCCTGGGATTTGTAGTTTTACAAGGTCTAGCCTTCTGTGCCAAAGAGGGCTGGTACATCTCCAAACTACAAATCCCAGGATCCCATAGCATGGACCCAAAGTGATGCCAAACTATGCTAAATCTACAGTGTGGATACAACCCTAGCATTAAAAGCAATGCACTTTTAAATGTTTCAGGTGCAAATATTCTGAAATAACCAAGTATTTTGGAAAAGGAAGGCTCATCCCTTATATTCAAGGGGGGGGGGGGGGGAAGAACTGTAAAACTAAATGTTTTTCTTCCAGGACACAAAATATCAGTGCTTTAACTTTCTTCAACTCGAGTATAGCTGCCAATGGCACTTTCAGCTTTGATCTATTTTTTCTCTAAAATTCCATTTCAAGTGGGGAAAATACAATATTTTTTATAATATTGTATATGATTATATTGCCTTTTTGCACAAGACTGGAATATATTATTTTTGAATTCCTTCATAGACAATGCAGTGCTTATATTAACTTACAAAAACTCATATTCGAAGTTTTGCTCAATCAGGATGACTGACGGGCAGTTTGAAAGCCCAGATAAATGCAAATATTAATAACAATAATAATAATATAGATGTATGTGCATATGATTTGAGGAAATGTCCAGATGAATGTAAATAATACTAATGATGATGATGATAATAATAATAATAATAATAATGTAGATATAAGTGTTTGCGCATATGATTTTGTAAAATGTCCAGATGACTGTAATTTATAATAATAATAATAATAATAATAATAATAATAATAATAATAATAAAATAGATGCAAATGTTTGTGCATATGATTTGGGAAAATATCCAGATAAATGTAAATAATGATGATGATGATGATTATTTATGTATTTGTGCATGATTTGGGGAAATGTCTACATAAATGCAAATATTATGAATAATAATAATAATAATAATAATAATAATAATAATAATAATAATATAGATGTATGTATTCATGCATACAATTTGCAGAAAAGTACAGATGCATGTAAATCATCATCATCATGTCTGTATTCATGCATACAATTTGGGGAAATGTCCAGAATAACAACAACAACAACAACAACAACAACAATAATATAGATGTATATGTTTATGCATATGATTTGGGGAAATGTCCAGAATAAGAATAATAGTAATAATAATGTATGTATTTGTGCATGATATGGGGAAATGTTCATATAAATGGAAATATTATTATTATTAATAATATAGATGTATGTATGTGTGCATACAATTTGGAGAAATGTCCAGAATAATAATAATAGTAATAATAACAATGTATATATTTAATAATAATAATAATAATAATAATAATAATAATGTGTGTGTTCATGCATACGATTTGGAGAAATGTCCAAATAAATGTAAATAATAATAATAATAATAATAATAATAATAATAATAATATAGATGTATGTATTTGTGCATACAATTTGGGGAAATGTCCAGAATAATAATAGTAATAATAACAATGTATGTAATTAATAATAATAATAATAATAATAATAATAATAATAATAATGATGATGTGTGTGTTCATGCATACGATTTGGAGAAATGTCCAAATAAATAAATAAATAAATAATAATAATAATAATAATAATAATAATAATAATAATAATAATATAGATGTATGTGTGTGTTTGTGCATATGATTTGGGGAAATGTCCATAATAATGATGTTGATGATGATTATGATGATGATGAGGTATGTGTTTGTGCATATGATTTGGAGAAATGTCTAGATAAATGCAAATAATAATAACAATAAAAATAATAATATAGATGTGTTTGTGCATATGATTTGGGGAAATGTCCAGATGAAGTATCCCTTAAAAGCAAAGTTATTTCCAAGAACCAAACTTTTCCAAACGCTTCCACCTTGCATTAAGTGATATATAACAATAAACCTATAGTACTCAGCCGGTACAATGGGATTTTATATGAAAAACGACGCTGCCGCCTCCTTGGGTGCATTAAA